TTTCACTGGACGGGCGTTGCGATAAGAGATGATTAAGCATTCCCCAGCAGATAATTAAAACCGGTTTTAAACATCTGCTGATGATGCTAACATGTGTGCTAAAGTGAAGTATTTTGGTGTACTGTGGTGAATTATTAGGGTTTCATTTTGTTCATTTTTTGATTTGATTGATTGGATTTTACTCCAATTTCAACCTGACTCTCTTTTATGATATACTCTGTAAGTTCAGACCTCGACCATCATTTTAAAGTTCTGCCCTTCTTTTCACTAGAATACAAATTTACCATTTATTCATAAACCTTCTATTTGGTCACACACACACATGCATAAAGTATTTTAATGATTCATCTGAATGTTTTCATTAACCACACAACTGTAGTCTCTACATGGATTCAATTTTTAAATTAATATTTAAGTGGAGCAGAAAACGTGGCAAGAAGGAGGCAGACAAAAGGTGGACCATAAAAATTACAGCACTGTATCCACGAGAAATAGAGGAAGACCAAATCTGAGATGGGACTATGATATTAGGAAATTGGCAGGGATAACTTGGGCCCGCATAGCCAACAATAGACAACAATGAGAAAACCCAACTACAGAACTACAGAGTATCTAAATATGTGAGGGAGGCTACACTATAATTGGAAATGGTTGATTAAGCTGATGAATGATGATAAATGATGATTTTAGTGGGCAATAGCTAGAAAAGAAACCTATAGTAAAGGTGTTAAAGTAAAGTTAAAACTTCTTTTTTTTGTATCGAATGCATTACAACCTTTTTGTGAACACTGTAGACACTTCATAGGTTTCACGTAGCGACATGACAATAAAATAGGCCATGATGGCAACAAACAGAAGAACTTTTTCGCAAAGCTAAAAAAGTTGAACGAGTGTATTGCCTACACTCTCCTTCTGTAGTAGATCCCTATTAGGTCTGAGATTTTATGGTTTTCTTGTGTGAATCTCTAGAGTGAGAAACATAGAAGATCGGAATTAAATAAGAGTTAGCCGCCTCAACAATTTTCATCCACTCATTCCAGTCCTGAGTGATCTCTTCCCATTTGATGATCCCCATAGTTTGAAGGTATTTAGGGATGCTGTCACGCCATCTAAGTTTTAGTCGCCCATGTTCTCCCCAAGTCATTTTTATTAGTCTTGAGTCATTGCTTCCCTGAACATGTCCCAGCTTCTTAATTTCTTGTATACTACTTGGACTATTACACCATGTGGTGGTACATCATCGTTGGAAACAGGAAATCGCCTGCAAACTTTGAACTGTACAAATATTGGCTCCCCTATTTTACTGCCAAGTCGTAAATAGGTTTTTAAAAGGCCTGCGTTTGTGAAATACACTTACCTAATTCGAACAATTTTGGCCAAGCCGATTTTAAGTAATTTCAGAAAAATTGCATCTATTTTTAAACTAAAAATTGAACAGGTAACAAGGCTAGGCAAATATAAACGTACCCTATGTTGTCATCCTATAATTTTGCCAATGTCAAATTGTATTTTCTTAACGCTAGGCTTTTGCCTCATTCGAACCAGTTTTAAATTAGAAGAATACATTTCGGAGATACTAAACTAAGGTAGGTAGTATAATGAAATAGTGTAGATAGCACAACAAATTACATTTGACAACAATTCTTCTAATTCTTCTACATTTGACAATGATAAAATCGTAGGTCGACAACTTAAAGTATGTTGCCATTTGACTGGTTTTGTAGTGTTACCTTAATTCAGTTTTAATTTGAAAATAAATGCAGTTTTTCTTAAATTACATAAAATCGGCTTGTCCAAAATTGTTCAAATTTGACATGTATATTCAGCATAGGTAGACCTTTAAAAAACCTATGCGACTTAGCTGTAAAATTAATAAGAGATCCAATATTTGGACAATTCAAAATTCTAACGCCAATGTACCACCCGGTATAGTTCATATACGTTATTGTTCGCGCTTATCCTGTACAGTGTACTGCAATGCTTATTGATCCTAGAGGGCTACAAATATTTTCCAAACGATATTTCTTTCAAATCGGTTGGGTAGCAGTATGTCTTGATCCAAAATAAGAGTAGATCAATACTAAAAAAAGAAGGAAAAAAAGAAAAGAAGGGTTCAGCCACATCCTTGAATGTGGCTGAGAGTACCAGATAAATTAAATGTTAAAATACTGCTTAAATCAACACAAATTTAATTACTATAAAAAAGCATACAGCTTTCTAGAAAGATTTGATATTTTTTCTGTGTAAAGTGAAAAAAGCAATGTTCAAATTCCATTCTTAGTAACGAGAAATTGACGCTGGTCTGTTACTAAGCCGATACGGTACCAGGAATGCGAAATTCTCCTCGATATAAAAACCGCATCGAGCGGTGGTGTCGCCTTAAAATGTTTCCTCTGTGACTAACATGCAGGCCCTCTGTTTCGCGTTAAAGGCCTGGTCGACGCACTATTATGCATTCGCATTTTTTACACCCACCGCAACGTCTGAATGGCGACGCTGCGAGATACTTGCGCGCTCAGTGCATAATAAATCTTTTCAGCTGGTAAGCGAAAACGTTAAAGGACCACTGTACGTATATTGCAGTCAATTAGGCACATTTTCTTAATCACTTAAGTGCTCGGTCTGAAACAGTACGAGACATAAATTAGGAACAATTTTCGTAAATGACAAATCAGATTTTTATTGCATTAAATTTAGATGAAATTTTATTTACAATTTTCAACTTGAAGAATTTTACTTCAAAATGAAAATACATTTGAGCATCGGTTTAGAAATAACATTGAACTTGAGAGTTAAATTTAGTTAATGCATTAAAAAACGCCTAAAGAAATACATTAAAGCAACGCTCCGAGACGTCTTCTTGTGAAATAGATGATATCAATACTTTAAAAACAGAGTACAATAGGGATATGAGCCAATTATCTCTTTCAGTGGTATGCCTTGAAGGCAAAGACTACCCTGTCTAGTATAACATGGGGGGTAAAAAGGGGGTCTTCAGGTAAGAATCTACGCTATCGAAAGATGCGTACATCTTATCTTAAATAAGAACTATCGAAAACAAGAAATAGCCATCTTATCTGATAGTCAAGCAGGTCAAAGTGAACAACTCAATAATCATCAATTGGAAGTTGGTCAAAGAATGCCTAGAGAAGCTGAACAAATTAGGCAAAGCAAATAAAGTCCTTCTACTATGGGTGTCAGCTCACCAAGGGATAGAAGAATATGAAAAAAACAAACGATATAGCTAGAATAGGAGCGAACACTCTAGTAACTGAACCAGAACCGTTCTGTTTCCCAAGTGAAAACCAACTTGAAGCGGAACTCAAGAACCTAGAAGACTCCATCAGTAACCTGGTATGGAAACCCTCCAACGGTGTAAGACACTCGATGACATTACTCAGAAACTTCGACAGAAAAAAATCAAAGATTTTCATAGATTTAAGTAAGAACAATCTTCGGATTGTCACGGGGTTTTTAACAGGATACTCAATGTCTCCTCAATGAACACCTCAGTAGATTGAAGCTTAGCAACAGCAGCGAATGTAGATTATGTGGAGAAAGTGAGGAACCTCCAGAACATCACATCACTGAGTACGCCGAGACGACAACCATTCGTGCCATAAACTTTCGTATGACTGATATCGGAGATGGAGTGTGGAGTAATATCAGAGATGGTTTTTGTCAAAGCCCTGAGACTGTATGATGAATTATAACTCAAGAAAGGGGGACAAATAGATCTTTAAAATCCCGGTGATTAACTTCCTTCTTCTATACAATCTACAAATGGCATGAAGGGTATAGAAACAGAAGTTGGGAAAAGGTTATACAGACTGATACAGCTGCCACCTTCTCATCTTCATAATAGTGCTGAAGATCAGTAAAGTCCAGCTTACAATCAGCAAGTAAAATGATAACACCATGTGCACCTGGAAGAACGTTAGACAACTCTGAGTCATACTACCTTTACTTCTAAGTTATGCTGTCTGGTAGTTCTACGATGTACGCCTTTTGGAAGAGGATGTTGAATGAGTCCACCGATCAGATCAGATTAGATGACTGTGTATCGTTTTGTCGTTTCTCTCCAAAGTATAAGTTTAGTCTCCAAAGAATGAGTTTAACATAGATTGAGTTAACTTACTATATAAAATTACATAAGGGGGTGGGGCATATTAGAGCGATTTCGCTACACTATATTGACATTCTATATAAAATTTTAAAAATTATTTTAGATATTTTTTTTTAATTTTTAATAGCACAAAGTTGTGATTGCTATAAAACCTACAAATGTTTTTATATTGATATACAGTTGGCTTGAAGATTACGATCGATGGTATTTATCATATAGCTTACTTATAAAATGGCAGCAGTCATTTCTTTTATGGCAAATATTAACCTTTTGTCTATTGTATGAAAATTCCCATATTTTTTTTTGAAATCGGTTAAGAGGTTTTAAACAAAAATAAACATTATTATAGTTTGGGGTTGGAACATTTGGTGTTATAATAGCAAAATAAATCACTAATTCATCTCAGGAATCCAAAACACTTTCTTTTTACCACTACCCGCGTTTTAGTAACCATAATAGCATCATTAGCAGATGCTTATGCTGGTTTTAATCATCTCCTGATGATGCTAACATGGTTAGCGAAACGCGCGTCCAGTGCAAAAGTGTTTTGGTGTATTGGGGTAAATTTGTGTTTTATTTTGCTAAAAATTAAACATCATGTTTGAATTTTAAAAGCTGTATTTGATTATACCAGAAATTAACATTGTTACTTAACAATAATAGATAATTAAATAACAATATTCATAAATTTTAAGGTGGCATTTTGATCAGCATCAAATTCACATTCCGATGATGAGGCTCAAAATTGGAACACCTTGAGCATTTATGTTACAAACAATCTACGTTTCTAAAACTCATTAATGCAAGTTTTTAAATAACTATAAAAATATAAAATAAAGATGTTGTTTCTATAAATCGAAATAATATTATAGATCTATCTATATTTCGTATAGTAAATCTTATACCCTGTGATCCTATTTTTCGGTCTTTTAAATTTCCTCTTACGATGTCTCTGGTAATGAGTGTGCTGCTCGTAGCGATAGTGGTTGCTTGTGTCAGTATTATAACTCTTCAAAATTTGATTAGGATAAGTACTTTGAGCTTGGTTACGCAGATTAGCAAAAGGCACTTTGGAATTTTTCACATAAATATGCTTGTGTTTTTCAACATGATCATGATCGTGAAGATGCTGATGATGGTGATAGTGAATTATATTACCATTTCTTAGATTCAAGTTTCTCAAAGTCCCATTTCTAGTCTCGTTAAATATAGTTCTGTTGTTTAATAGTAATGTATTATTTTCATTTCTTAGAACAGTTTGTGATGTTAGACTTGTCTGGTCTACTGGTACACTTGTTGTAGTTGCTTCCTGAATTGTGTTACCTACAGTAGTGGCATTTTGATTATTTAATGAATTTGTTACAATATTACTGATATTCGGTAGATTTATGTTTTGATTTCCGGCATTGACTGTGTTATTATTGAACTGAATAGCCACGCTTACGTTTTGTGTTTCAACATTAAGTAAATCTGCATTAACTGGATAATTTACATTATCATAATTATGTCCAGAATACCCCAAACCCGAATCTAATTGGTTAGGTACATTCAGGTAACTGTCATCTAAAGGAACTGCACTACTATATTCTGTAGGGATGTTTAAACTTGGATTGGAAAGCTCGAAATCATTGGGGTTGTTTTCAACTTCATTAATAGAATTTATATTTAGTGGTATTTCCTTGGTAGATACATCGTTATGGAATGAAGAATGCACGTTTAAACTTGGATTGGAAAGCTCGAAATCATTGGGGTTGTTTTCAACATGATTAATAGGATTTCTATATAGTGGTATTTCCTTGGTAGATAGATCGTTATGGAATGAAGTACGTACGTTTAAACTTGGATTGGAAAGCTCGAAATCATTGGGGTTGTTTTCAACATGATTAGTAGGATTTCTATATAGTGGTGTTTCCTTGATAGATACATTGTTATTGAATAAAGTTGTAGCATTTGTGGCATTATAATTTCGGATACTCAAGTCTACCTTCGGATTATCAAACTGGCTCAAATTTGATGCTGTGATATTCCAAGTAGAGTTTTGATTTGTGAAGGATATTTGAAGGTCTATCGGCGAAGTATATACTAGCATATTTAACAGTACAATTTCTACACACTGTAAAAAAAAACAATGATATAGAGGATGTGGCTGAAAAGACAAACAGATATGTACATCATAATTTTGACGATATAAATCAACTAACATGCGTTAATAATTCTAATAAAAATTTGTTTATCTATAACTGATTTTTTATAGACTAAAATTTTGTATGCAAATTAGTTTGATGAGTTAAAAGCCAGGAGTCTCATATGGAGTGCTACTGCCCGATGAGTATTTTTGAAATGGTTACCTTATATTATATTATTGAAGATTATTATTAACTTATCAATAGCCACAAATTATTATCAGAGAAAGATGTATATTAAAAATAGGTTTACACAAAAATTAATAAAAAAGTAATTTATTTTGTTAAAAAAATACGAACGATAAAAAATAGTTGCAATTTTAGTGGATGTATCTTAGTTAAAATTCTGTTGCAAAATCCTATACAAAAATACCCTGTATAGATAGAGTGAATACGAAAACATTAAAGTGGGTGGTGCAAAACAATCCCGTTGGCAAGCCTTGAAAATAATTTTGGAAAAACATAAAAAACTACTTGTATTTTAGAATACATAAGTTGGCGATATTTATATGATCCAGCCAGGATACAACACATTTAACCTAATTTTATTTTTAATTCGAAATATCTGTCTATACTATTAAGAGTTCCAAATAAACGTACTGATTTAAAAAATAATATTTATAATAAAATTCCAAATACATACCCAGCTTTTCATGATCCATAACATAAAACAGTTGGGTTGAACCAAGAATGAACGTCGATTTAAAATTAATTAGATTTTTATAGTCAGAGATAAATAATTCATTAATAACATGATTCTTAAACGATGAAGCGTATCTTTGAATGGTGAGCTTGGTTGCACTCACGTTAAGCAAACTATACTCAGACAATAAGTGTTGTTTTTGTAATGTATATTAAATAATTTCCTTTAGCTCACATGTCACATGCAACTTAATTTTCAACTGTGTATGTATACAGTAAAAATGTAAATAGGAATGTGTATGAATATACAATAATTTTTTTGAAGATTATTGAAATATTCGTTATAAATATTGAATAATTGAGGAAATATACAGTTCAATTAACATAAAGGAAATAAAAGTCATTAATATAAACCGTCTAACTAAATACGGAAACATCATATTTAAACATTATACTAAAATTTAATTATAGCCAAGTCATTCTTGTAAATTGTCTATACTTAACGTAAGACTATCTCAATAAATGCCGATTGGATTTCCATCTGATTAAAGAACTATACCCTAAGAAGGTTTCTTATTCCTTAAAAAAGGAATATCAATTTTAAACAAAGACTGCCTAAATTTCAACTTCAGTAAAAAAAATTAACAGTTTGATCTACATTTCGCTATCGATGAAAGACTTCATTAGAAAGACTGTTACAAAATGAGAAAACCACATTAGATTATTAAATACATTTTAACAAAGAGGAAATTGACAACAAAGTCTTTGTTAAAATTAATTTAAAATGAATTTTCATCAAGTACAAGCCACAACAATCCAGAAAAGTATATCGAATAATCATATATTTATTTTATTTAACACTTGCATGATTTAGCTTCATAAGTTTAAATAGCCCATTATATGGCAAAATATCATATGAAAAATAATTATCTATGACTAAAAATCATTTTTTTATAATACATATTAGTTGTTTCATGAACTATTTTTACCATAATATAAAATTTGCTACAATAAGTCAAATTTGTTTCAGACTAACACGGCTCCCCAACAGAGGTCCGGAGTTTGGGCAACAACTTAATATAACGCAAGGACATACAAATTGTGAAAAAGTTAATTCAGAGGTAACCAAATTTACTCTCCTAAGTCTTATGGAATCAACGTTCTATATAAAAATAATTAATTTATATATAATTTAAAAAAACTACCTTTAGCTAATAAATACAATGGATCCTCCACAATGCGTTCAAAATGCGATGATGACGAAAGACAAGAAACCCTTCACTTACACCCCAGGCGGTATCGATTTAACGGAGGTCAGATCTCCAAGAATGCAACGCCGGATCGAACGCAATGCTAATCTTGGAGGTGTATCTGATGTGCCCAAACCTCCGCCACCTCAAAATGTCGGCCCTCTACCACCATCGGCTCTAGCAGCCATGAGACCTCAAACACAGGTAAAAAAATGTAAATTTTTCGTAATAAACGTCATTAATTTGTATGTTTTTCAAGGTACAAGTATTTCCTGGTCCACCACCACCACCTCCAATGCAGAAAAATATTCCACCTCCACCTCCTCCACCAACTTGCCCCTTACCAACACAAAAAGTCACAACAGGTGACAATCAAGTGCTAGAAAGGCCCGATATGACTAAGATTATTCCCGATAATCCGATGGCACTATTACGGAAGACTGGAGGACCTGCTCCTAGAAAATCATTTGTGGAACAGATGTATGACGAAGGAAACCGACAACCACCAGCCCCACCTCAAAGAAACATTGAAGCTCAGTCGCCTAGGTATCAAACTCCTGCTTCGCCACCAGTTCAACAGCAGCGGCCAGTTCAACCACCTTATCAGCCACCACAACAACAGTATCAACAAGCACCTGTACCAACTCCTCAATATCAACAAGCACCACCACCTCCACAACCTGCGTCTCAATATCAAGCTCCTCAAAGGCAGTTTCAACCACCTTCCCCTCAACAATATCAACAACCGCAGCCTCAATATCAACCACCTCCACCACAACCCCAATTCCAGGAAAGATCAACGAATTCCCCTAAACCTGCTGGGTTCCATCCACCAATTATTGAGCGACAGCCAACGATACCTAAGCAGCAAGAACCACCACAAAAAAATACTAGTTCTAACGTGGGATCTTTATATATTCCACCAATAAGTCAATCAGTAAGTAGAAATTAAAAGGTAGAAATGAAATTACTATTTTTTACGATCAACAGCAAGTTCCAAATCAGCAAAGGGTTGTATCTCCACCAACACCACCAGACAGACAACCCCAAGTTCAGTCTCCAGGAACGCCACCTTTAAAAGAAGCGCCTAGACCTTGGCAACAGAAACATAGCCAACAGCAACAAGAATTGCCACCGTGGGCTCGGAGAGATGAAGAAGAAGTAATGTAGTATTGTAAAAAGTCTTTGGTCGGTGTAATAAGTATATTTTTACAGAGAAATCAATCCACTCAATCGCCACCTGCAGCTCCTAATATGCAGCAAAGGTGGCAGCAACCAACAAGACCAGTCCAATCCCAACAGCCGCCACCACAACCAATCAGACAACAACAAAATCAATTCTCGCCTAGGTAAATATGCTCTATGTCTCTGTTTATTCAACGAAATTAATTCTTTCCTCCAGGCCTCCACAAGGTCAGCAGAATCAACAGCCTTCCCCTAACTCGTTTCCTGTACACATTGAAATTCGTACAGGACCTTACCAACAAAATCAACCTGAAGAGACATCATCTAATGCTGTTTATATAACTCAACCTGTTGTATTGCAACATCCTGGAGCAAGAGGATCACCACAACAAGGTAAATTCTGTGAGCAAATATTTTACCGGAAGTTATTTTTTAATAAATTGTGTAGGTCAACCGAGGCAACAAGTTAGTCCTAGTCCATATCAGCAACAGCAGACGCAGAGTAATCAATATCAACAAACTAGGCAAGTTCATCAACAAACTAAGGTGGAAAGTGATGGTGTCAGGATAATTCCTATTCAAATTGAAGGAAGAACTCCACCAACAACGCCAGGAAATGAGAGGTAAGGATACTAACATCAAAATAAATAAATTGATTTTTGTTTCCTCAAAAGTTGATTTGAACATAATATACTCTAATAAAATCTATAATACACAACCATTTATATACCTTAAATAACCGCAAAACCATTTTCGTTGCACGTGATCAACTTTGAATGAGAAGCGATGACGACAGCGCTACCAGATTATGATGGATTTATGAGATGAACTTAATGTAAAATTGGGAAACAATATACCGTATAATCGAAAAAAAATGGCATCAGCGATGGCTATGAAATGAAAATCACTGTCATTTTATATGTAAAATGCTCTATAAAGTAGCATAAAGAGCTGCTCGGTATCTTAAATTATACAACAAATTTAAACATGTTTGACCAAAATTTCGTTTAGTCAGGTTTATAGGCTTTAGTGTCAATTTCGATATGATTGATGATTGATGAATCGGAAATGTGAATCGGAAAATGTTTTGAGATTACCGTACATTTATTCATATCAGTAAAGCCGTATAGGTATGTCAAAATATTCCAACTAATTTCGAAAAAGTTTTTCTAATAAGTTTAGAACATGGAAAAACTGTAAATTCAAAAAGAAGCATTTTTGAAAATTTTCTACAATCTTTTGATTGAATCTTTTTTTAGAATAATTGGGAAATTAAATTTTTAAATTTATGTGCCGATATATAAATTGTATTTCGACGATGATAACTAAAAGATCAGAAACGTTTAATTCGGTTGTTAACCTGTACCAAATTTTCTATTGCATAAATGCGGCAATGAACTCAAATATTTGTTTAAGTAAAACTGAACTACCATCGACCATCACCTAGTATTTTTTTATGAATACGATTTAACCAGTTATTCTTATCGTAGGCGTAGTTTGTTGGCGCACATCATAAAACACTTTTTTATTATTGGAAATAAAATATTAATTGAATTAGTTAAATCCTTTTTATAATAAAGTTAAATAAAGCAGTTGCGTAAATATCTTTTTTAGCATTGGTACGGTTAAATATAGATTTGAAACAGACATAAAAACTGAATTAGTTTGTTACCGATACTGGAGTTTAGTCTTCAATCTTTTTTTAATAAGAAATATCTGTTTTATTTGGTAATTGAAATTTGCTTTCGAAATTTCAGTCCATAAAATCTTAGTGTTAAATTTTTCATAAAAGTTTTGGAGGACACTTACCACGAAATATATATTTTAGAAATCTAAATCGGCAACTAAGTTGGGGAACACAACCTCCTCAGTCAAACTCCTTTAAAGTACTCCAGAAATTTACCAGAACTGATGACGACGAAGATGATGATACTCCGGTTACACAACATTCACCAAGGTATCCTCAAGAGATGACTGAACAAGTTAGGAAAGTAAAAATCAATGACAATGGTCATTTTAGGCAAGGTAATTTATAAAGAACTATTAGAATTTTTTTCAAAAGATTTTTGTGATATTTTGAAAATATTTTAGCACGTTATGCTTTTTTAGATATTTTTGTTCAGTGTGAGGAAAATCCCCGATATAGAGGAGGATATATACCTTCCAGGATATTTAGAATACTTGACCAAAGTGGTATATATTTTTCTTTTTACGGTGGTAGAAACTAACATTTTTAAAATACTCAACACATTTTTATATCTGCTGTAACTGTATTCCGGAAACTTCGACAGCATATTCTACAGATAAAAATAAGTACAAAAGTTCGCATAAATGTATGTACTAAAATGCTTAGTTTCGGAGATACAGGGTGTAGAAATTTTATTTTTATTTCGATTTTTTCCAAATAATTTATGAAGTAAAGTCAATATTTGGATGAAAAATGGTTTCTGGGAGTTTTTGACATGAGAAATTTGATTTTGATATCAATATGACTCCTACTTGTAGAGGGCGCCACCTACATATTTTTTAACTGGTTTGAGGTGTAATAACTTTTCGTCCGTACCTGTATAAAACTACTGAGTAAAAAAAATATACATTTACGGCGCTTTTACGTAAAAAAGATATCTTGGTAAAAATCGCTACGAGTAATGATTCTCGAGATATTTGGAATCGAAATAATCAATACCGATCATCATTGACATAAATTAAACATGTTGACTAAAATAGTTATTAGACTGAAATCATAAATTTGAAATGTTTTTGTGCCAAAACTTCAACAGAAACTGTTTTATCATCATTTTTTCACAGAAAAATTTATGATTAATTTAAAAAAAATCCTAAATTAACTATTTCAGTCAAGAGACATTACAATCAAGACATTTTTTACGTAAAAACTCAGAAAATGTATATTTTTCACACAGTAGCTTTTATATAGGTACGGACAAAATGTTATTTCTCTTCAAAACAGTAAAAACACATGTAGGTGGCGCCCCCTACAAATAGGAGTCATATTGACATCAAAATAAAATTTCTCATGTCAAAAGACACCAATTTTCATTCTAATATTGACGTTACTTCAAAATTTTTTTTGGAAAAAATCGAAATAAAAATAAACCTTCTACACCCTGTATCTCAGAAGCATTTTAGGACATACATTTATACGAACTTATTTTTATCTGAAGGATATGCTGCCGAAGTTTCCGGAATATAGGTCGTACCACACCATTTAATTACAATTTCTTTTAAGATTTGTAACGACCCTAACTAAAGTAGATTAGAATTCGAGTTTCATGATCAACATTACTGTTAACCAAAAATAGTTATAAGTCTTCTATCCTATATCATTAATCTCTTGAAACTATAGAAAACGATACGTAGTCACCTAAGTACATTCGCTAGAAATTAAATAATTCTTAAGATAAAAAGAAAATATTTTCTTTTTCTTTTTCTAGTTGGAAATGGTCAGCCTCAACCTTACGTACATCCCAGTGAACAAGTAGTACCCGAACCAAAAAAATATATGGGAAGTAATATACCTAGCCGATCTTTCAAAATTTTACAAGCCATGACAGCCCCATCAGACAGTGGTGGTAAGAGAGTATAAAAATACCATTCTCTATGTAATACGTTAAAGAGACGAGATATTTACAATATATTTTTATCACAGACACTTATATCTAGTCTCTTTAATGCATGATTCATTCGTGCGTCAATACGATATAACTAACTTATACATTCTTGATTCTTGACCTATTTTCTTTTCATATTTTTATCATCACTATGACTTAAATATATAGAATAAAACACATAAATTAGACGAAATCAAAGTGAACAGTCCTATTTCTTGGTTTCTTCTAGCCAATGCCAACTACAGCGAAGAAATACCCATTAATCCCTTTAATCATTATAACTATCCCTATTATCCTCCCCCTTTTTGGCCCGAATATTATCCCCATGTATACCCTCAAGATCAACAAGATTCGTCCAAAAGTGATAAAAATGTTCCTAGAAGTAATAGGGCAACACCAGTGCCCCAAATGCCATATGTTCCTCCATACTGGCCTGAATACTACCATGGATTCTATCCGCAAGAACAATCCGATTCATCGTCAAAATTAAGTGATAGAAGTTCTAAAAGCGGACGATCAACACCGTTACCAAGTTCAGTACCACCACCCGTTGTTCCTCCGCCAGCTTATTGTTGGAATTATCCGGCACCTAAAATGCCAACGAGTGGTTCAATTAGATCACAAAGTACTCCTCCTAGAACGGATAAATATCGGAGACCTCAAACACCACGGTCATTTAATGAGCATCCGAATAACTCAGATGAATCGATGAACCACCCTAATCAATATCCACCTTATCCAATGTATCCACCGTATTATGATCCATACTATTATAATTATTATTATGGATATCCTCCTATGATGCCACACTATCCCTATTATCCATCGGCATCCGAAAACGAAGAACTAAGTGGATATTCTTCAATGGATGAAATGTCAAACTATAACAGTAATAGAACGTCTTCGAAAAGAAGAAATAGTCTAGATAACAGTTCAAATACAGTCCACTCACTAAGAAACCACTTTGAAATTCGTAGCCAATCAGCTGCACCGAGAATTACAGTTACTCCCACTACCGTGCAAGAGAAAATAAACATCAAACTCCCACCGGAACAGCAAATAGATGAATGTTCTCAAATTGAACAACAAGAGGACTTTTGTCAAACAATAGATGAACCTTGTAAGATTAGATCAATTAAGTCAGTCTCAAATATAAATGTTTACGCAGAAGAAAGTAATACAGAGACTGACACAGAAACGGAAGATACTTCAGAAGAGGAAAGTGAAGAAGATGATGAAGATGAAGTCATAATCGTAAGCAATAAAGAAGAAATTATTCCCCATCAACTCAGTGTAATCTTTGAGGAAACTGAACGCGCAGACAGCCGTAGGTCTTTCAGACCAAGTAGTGTGGCTAGTGAATCAACTACAATCGCTGAAGCTAACAGTGACGATGAAGACATGGAAGATTTTCTCTCTATTCAAAACGTAAAATACAAAATTAATTTGTTTCAAGAAGCTACTGAGAAGGTGTCTGTTACCACTAGCAATGGACAAATTGTAAAATCATGTGGAAGAGAAAGTCAATCATCCGCCAGTTTTATGTTCGAAAATACAACATTTCAATCAAGATGTATACCACCATTTGTAAGGGAAAATAATAATTACGCAGCAGAAGAAAAGACTGAAATAGTTGAAATGTCCGAAACAGAAAGTGAATCAGAAGAAGTAAATGAAGGTTTGGTGGTTAGTAAGAGTAATGTCAATAACGAAACGCTTAAAAACGAGGAGAAGCTTAACGATTACATCACGGAGACATCATCCAGAAAAAAATCCAGTTCTGAAACTATACACTCTGAAGAAAATTGGTGGGATATTCTTAAAGTAGAAGATAAAAAAGAAACTGAGGAATACAATGATATTAAAGAAACTGAAGATGATAAAAATGAAACATCTAAAACTGTAATAAATACTATCGAAAATGAAGTTGTCGAAGTTAGATTAAGGAAAAAAGATAAAGAAAGAAATACTACAAAAAGTAATGTCAGTAAGTCTTTATCAGAAACCACTAGTATCATTTTTGATAATTCATTCTTCGATGATATACCGTCATCCAACAGAAATAGCATATATGACATTTTAAAAGAAGATGAAGAATCCGAGGAAGTAATATCCGGAGGTGGCACTCTAATGAGAGTTGATAGCTTTGCTTCCAAATTAGAAGAGATTAAAAGAAACTCCGGCCTTTGGACACTGGACGATTTTAACAGTAATAATTCTGTTCATACCATAACTGAAGAAAATGCAGAATCAGATGAATTCCACACACATACAGATATTGAAAATACTCATATCTATCAGCAAGATCAAGTTGAAAATGTCGATAGTACTAAAAATACTGATAGCACATTTAATGGGGAATTGCATGATACTATCAATGAAGAATCTAATGAGGATTCAGATGAAGTAGACTTCTGGAGCCAAATCAAAAATGACGAAGACGATTTTAAACCACGTAAAAAAAGTATTTTTGAAACACAAAGTATCTGGGAGTCAAACGAATCCAATGAAATTACAAACAAAATAAATGACGATTCTGCTGGCTCTAGAGATAGTAGCGTTAGTAAGAGTCGAGAAATTTGTGATAATCAAATTGAAATAAATGAACCGAATCAAGATATTTATTGTGATTCAAACGTGAATTATAATCCCCAACAACTGGAATCTGACGAAACCTCCGATACTGATTCTTCAGAACCTGAAGAAAAATATAACATGGATAATAACCAAGATAACGAGAATAATAATAGTGGATCTGAATCTTATGAACCCCGAACTATAAAAAATCGCATCGAAGCTTTGAAGAGAAGTATATCTCAAAAACAGAAAAAGATTCAGGAAGTTGAAGAAGTTAACGAATCAGTTAAGTCGAGGATATCAGCTATAGAAATTCCTCCAGAGAGTCGAAGTAAAACTGCTTCAACAAAAAGTAGCGTAAAATCGTTTGAAGAATATTCTGAAGAGGAGGAAGTCGACTCGGGCGTCATTTCTGATGTGTCAAGACACATTTCTGACAACGAGGAATTTCCCGAACTTAAAAAACTTACCAGGTACGAACGTGCTGCTACTCATTCTCGGCTATTTAAGCTTCTCCAAGAGGAATGTGATGAGGAAGAAGATGAGATTGAAGTTGTAAAGAAAGAAGATAAATTTAGTAGGTTATCTGTTAGACAAAACAGGGGAGAAAATCGACTGTCCCCTAGTAGAAGCAAACTCAGTTTACCTCTTGCAAAGTGCAACGAGAATGACGATGAAACAGCTCCGGTTAATGAAAAGCTGGTAAATGAATTAATTCAAAGTCTACTAAGATCTAAAAAAGCGCAGATGTTTAAAAACATGCCTAAAGAAAAACTATATGCAGCAGCAGTTAAAATACTTCAAGAAGGAATAGATAGTAATGGGGATACACCATCAGAAGAGTTTAGTAGTCTTTTATCCCCTCTAAGAGGAGATACTGAGTGTAGTACACCTGCTCAAACACCTCAAGAATTCTACGGCGATTATAGTGAATATAAACAATACTATGATTCCTGGAGTGAAGTGTCTTCAGAAATTGTACCCTCTAGGGCCTTTAAATTACTACAGGATCATTTGGGGGCGAGTAAGTTGGGTACCATCGAAGGCATTCTCGCAAAATGTCCACGAATAATGTCTTCCAAGAACGTACCTAAAGAACTCCTTAAACTTTTGGACGAATCTTCCCCAGAAACCAATTCCCAAAACCCTTCACAATCGAACGACGTTACGAACACTTGAAAAGAACGACATTGGATATTTTGCGAAAAAAATGTTGTCGGATTCAGGTCCTACTCGAGGTACCGATAAAATTTAGTGTTGCCAAAAAGTATTGTCTGGTTTTTTGTAGTTTTCACATATTTTTTGATAGGCTAAATTTTTTAACGGTTATCAATCTCTGAATATTAATTATATTGGTAAATAATAATACAGGGTGGCGCCTCTCATACACCGCGGAGGCTCCAATGAGAACGGCAGTTTGAGAGCACTTTTTAAAAATATAGAAAGTTCTACAAGGTGTACCCAAAAAAAGGTACATATCAAAGTTGTGTTTTTTATACATTCTGGGAGAAATATTTTCATTCAGATTCTTCGGATTCTGGGATAAAAATAAAGGTGAGTTTTATAAGAGAAGTATATGACTAAAATTTAAGGTTTTTGACATGTTTAACATTTTCTAGAAATAAAGAACAATTTTTAAATTACAATAAAAGCTACCTAAATTGGAATTTACCCGGTATAGCCTAATATGTAGTTAAACTAACTATTGTACTTTAAATCAAATTAAAACTTGATCCAAAAAGTTATACAGGGTGAGACAAAATTAATATTGAACATTGGTCACATTTAAAAGCATGTTATTTTTAAGCTCTTTTATTTTAAATAAACACCCAGTATATTATTCCGATATTTAATGGAGAATTCATCTCTCTCCAAAATACTATTAAGGTTACCTACCCCTCAAACAAAGATTATCCTAAACATTTTCATTTACATGATTTGATCTGAGTAGATCTTTATTATTATTTGATAAAATCTAGGTGGCTGTGATATATCTGATGTTAATTCAACATAGCTATCTAATTAGTCCAACTTTAACAACTAGTTATCATTTTGTCAGCGAAAACAAAAAAATTTCTCAGAAATTTGCCAAAAATGCAAACTTATCCCTACATCAGAGAGAATTGATATGATTTTATTAGTTGGTGAATGCAGTGTGCGTTAATAGAATACTTAAATGCTTCTGATTTTATTTATTTAGTCTGGGTTTTTTTATGGGGATATATTAAGGACAGTGTTTACAAAACTCGACCAACTATTGTCGACAACATGAGAGAAATGATTGTAGCTGCTTTTCGAGGTAGAACTCCACATATGCCTTTTAAAATGAAAATATCCTTTTGAAAAGACAATCATTTTATGCAACTAACAGGAAAGGAAGCATTTTGAGCATTTGATTTCATCTAGCTAATTTTTGTCCCATAATTAAAGGTTTATATCTAGTTTTAATTCTGTAATAATTAAAATATGTTTTAAACGTGTATCTTTTTTTACCGTTGAGTATTTTACTCTACAATCTACACAGCCACCCTAATTTTTTTCAAATAACAAAGATCTACTGACGCAAAATCATAAAAATTAAAATATCTAGGAAAATCTTTGTCTGAGGGGTAGGCAACCTTAATAATATTTTGAAGATATATAAATTCCCCAGTGAACACCGGAATAATATACTGACTGTTCCATTGAAAATAAAGGAGTAACTTGCTTTTAAAAGTGACTAATATTCAATATTAATTTTGTCTGGCCCTGTATAACTTTTCGGGTCAAATTTCAATTTGGTTTAACATACAATGGTTACTGTAATTAAATATCAGGCTATACAAGGTCAACTAAAATTTAGGTAGCTGTTATTGAAATTTAAAATTTACTCTTTATTTTCACAAAATGTGAAATATGTCAAAATCCTTACATTTTAGATATATGCTTCTTAAATAAAACTCACCTTTATTTTTTTCCTAGAATCAGAAAATCAATTAATATATAAGATGTTCCATTAGAAAAAACACAACTTTGATGTGTAACTTTTTTTGGGGACACCCTGTATAATGCTATATCTACAATATATAAAATGCTAATGTTAATCTGTGTCGTCTCTACTGAATTAACGACTTGTTCTAGAAAGTTGCTTTTTTTTACTTAAAGATAGCTAATTGGCTCTTCTAAAAACTGTCGTCGCCGGATTTTTTGTTTTTCATTTAACTGAAAAAAAATAAAAAGTATCTTTTCCCTGATCGTGGCGGATGCGCCAGGCTTCAATTAGTATTTTTATAAAATGCTTTCACTTAACCTACATAATATGCTGCCAAAATTTAATTTCGATTAAACTATCGTTCTCCTTGGAGCTTCTGCGGCGTATGAGAGGCGCCACCCTGTATAATTTATAAAGAATCTGCCATGATATAATCTGTTATACTTTATACATAATTTTTATTTTTGACACTTAAATTGTGTGTTAGATCATTTGTTGAATTATTCATAGATTGAGTTGCCAAATCAGTCTCTTTTTCGGAGTAAACTCCACCTTTGAAATTTTCCCATTGTTGTCGCAGTCAGATATTTTTATTTGCATTTGACGTATAGCCACTTTACAAACTTTCGGCAATTAACAGAAATTTTACCGGAAATAATATTAGCTTTCTTAGTTTATAACATTTTCAACGTTTTGGCTAGGTTGTAACTGACATTTTTTTAACTTTCATTCATATCATTATTCACTAAAAAGGTGTAGTTTGCTTCACAAGGGATATCTAACGCATAATAATAGTATGTGCAATTAAACATTTTCTTTTATTATAATCTTTACGGTGTTATTGCATGTTGTGTTTTTGTTTATTATTTTATTTTTAAAATCAATTTTATATGTTCACATCATTCTTAACATTTTTACATCAAATGCAAATAAATATATTTGAAATGTATTGTAACTCTTATAGCTTGCTCTTATGTCACTGTCCATCTTTCAGGTTATTCGCTACGCCACACTTCTCATTACAGAGTTGTGATTCTATTAATTTACGGAATATCTTCACCTTATAGGCCAGTCAAATAAGATCTATTATAGTGTTGCAAAATTATGGTTTTGATTTGTTCAATTGACATGACAGATCAGTATCCTAGTTTTGCACGGTTGCTCGACCGCCGTTCGACTCAGGAGGTCCAAAATATGATAAAATTCTTGGATTTTTTTCAGCTTTTCACCTATAGTTCCGAAACGTTGCGTTCTAGCGAATATTTCACTATTACGTAAATTAAAGACCAGTAAATTCTGCGTATAAGGTACTCGGTGGCGTTGAGGTACAGGCTCTCGTCTACCAATCTCAAGGTAGTTTGTTCGAATCCTACACCCGGCATTTCATCAGCCGACTATTTTTTATTAAAATAAAAATAGTTTGGGTACCTAGGTCGACTCAGCCTAAAATGAGTACTTGTCGATTCAAAATCCTGAGGTAATAATAGGCGGTTGAAGCGTAGTGCTAGCCACATTACCTTCCTTGTATACCGAACGGCTCTAGCATGGCAAGCTGTACCTTGCTACTCCCAAGGCGTTAACCGCTATATACGGGAGCTATTATTATTATTATAAATTCTGCGTATAATGAGTAATTCGTTCAATTTGGTCCAGTAGTATGGCGAATATCGAAAGATGAAGAAAGGTGATATTTACCAATTTTTCTGGTAAACGCATTAAAGTGACATTCAAACGTTCGTCACACGGAAATGATCATTCTAAATAATAAACCATACAATGAAAGTTGCAGAGCATCAAATTAGCATTTTACATGAACTACTACATGCTGAGGAAATGAAAATGTTGGCGTTCCGTCCAAATCTCCATGAAATTACTTAAGAAATGGTATTGTGAATTAAACTAATACACATGTACAAGGTGGACCATTTTGGTTGTTTCTATAGGGTATCTAGGAAACCGTCAGAAATATTCAAATTTTGATACTGCAGTCTCGGGTTCTTTTTTTGAAAAAATCATAATGGCGCAAACAGATCGTGGCTATCTTGATCGATTTCGAAGCTACAGGGGGATTCTCAAATTTTGTACTTTTTGAAGATGTTCGATTGTTTGTTTATTTCAACAACTGCGCAAAAATGAATTAAACATTCTAAAGGCACTTTTCTGTGTAGAATACAGCGGCGTAGTCAGACTTTTTTCGAAAAAAATATTTTTTTACATATTAACTTTACTTATGTTATTTTAAATACAACCCCCTGTATATTTTTAAATTTCCTGATTCAGTTTGGCATGGGCTTCTCAAAAATATATAACACTATATATTTATTTTCACTATTAACTTTAAAATTCCAATTTATTTAAAGATATCGACTTTCCTCTTGGTAGGTCATGCCGAGTATTAAAGGAAACAAGCGAATATCTACTTTCAAATTAATCCATGTATTAGTAATTAAATAAATTCGAACAATACGAAGCAAATAAAAAATAAATGTAACAAAAACAAAAGAATATATTTTAATACAAACTCAACAGGTTACTTCAATCGGGCTTCTCAGTTAATATAAAAAATAAAACCACAAAGACTACATTAAATGTTCAAACTGCTGCCCATTAGACTAGATCCACTAGACAGAGTTGGCACCGTCTCCGCTCGCAGCGCCGCCACTAGCAGCATTTCGAATGTCTATGTTCGTTACACTTTGCAAAGCCACAACGAAACTATCTTGTAACTCTTCTAACGTTCTATTTGCATTTCGATAAATTTCGTTTTTCAGAAAGCCCCAGAGAAAGAAGTCCAAGGGAGTGATATCAGGTGACCTAAGTAGCTAGAATTAATGTATTTTCTGACCTTTTAAAAATGCTTGGGTTTGGTTGCTCGTGCTCAAAATACCGCTCAAAATATAAATCAGCTGCCACACAATATAACATTCTAACTCAATATAACATTCTAACATATTATATTTTTCAAAATTTTCAAATTTACTAATTTTTTTATTATTTACAATACACACACTTCAATCTGGAGAAATGAAATGGAACGCGTCACGCATCCTACTACTAACTGGATATTTTAAGAAAAATTTGAAATGTTGAGGTTAATAGTGAAAATAAATATAGAGTGTTATATATTTTCGAGAAGCTCATGCCAAGCTGAATCAGGAAATTTAAAAATATACAGGAGGTTCTATTTAAAAAAAACAGAAGTATAGTCAATATCTAAAAAAATATTTTTTTCGAAAAAAGTCTGACTACGCCACTGCATTCTACACAGAAAAGTGCCTTTAGAATGTATAATTCATTTCTGCCTAGTTGCTGAAATAAACAAACTATCGAACATCTTCAAAAAGTACAAAATTTGAGAATCTCCCTGTAGCTTCGAAACCGATCAAGATAGCCACGATCCGTTTGCGGCATTGTGAATTTTTCAAAAAAAGAACCCGAGACAGCAGTATCAAAATTTGAATATTTCTTACAGTTTCCTAGATACCCTATAGAAACAACCAAAATGGTCCACCCTGTACATTTAATTAACATTAAAATTATTATATACTAAATTTTGCTAATATTACATAATATATACAAAGTAAGCCACAATATCGATAATGTCTATATCTTCATGGCGGGGGGGCTTCATTCTTGAAAAAATTTCGCCATAGAAATAGAATCTAAGAAATAAAAGTTTTTTTGTAAAATATCACTGCGTCTAATCCAGACGGAAACTAGCTTGTCAGGAACTTTTTTACTTCTAAAACAAATTTGCCTAACAAAATGTTGTACCCCGCAAATTTGTTTTACGAGTAAGAAGCAATCAACAAAAGCATTATTATTTTTTAAGATGAGCGCAGCATCTTGTTGATACAATGATGACTTGGTATCCCATCCACTGAAAGCATGCAGCAACAAAATGTTTGATTTTAAACTCTCCGAGTATTTGAAGTGCCTGGGGAGTACAAGTTATTTTCCTTCGCACGTTTCCCAGGATTCTTTGCATTGATGCAATTTCTGAGGTGGTAGGTGCTAATGCTGTGAGTAGGACCAATAGATCTGTGTCCTCACCAAGAATAATTAATGATGGATAACTCAGAAATAAGTCAAATGCAGTCGTAACAATGAGTCTATCAGCATTCTCCTCCACTACTTTTACAATCATCTATTTTTTTATGAAGCATGCTAATTAGACGCTTCTTATTACGATCGTTGAAAAAGAAATGTTCTTTTGAAGTGGCAAAACTGGTAAAAATAACTATTTTAAAGTATCAATTTTAGCTATACGACTGAACCAAATTGAACGAATTAATACTCATTCTACAAATTGTTGGACTATAGAACATATATTACTTGATGTAAAATGCTAAAAATTTTGTTGCTCTGTAACTTTTATTGTATGGTTTATTATTTAAAATGATCGTTTACGTGTGACGAAGGTTTAAATGTCACTTTATTGCGTTTATTTATATTTATCACCATTATTCATCTTTCGATTTCTGTCATACTACTGGACCGAATTGAACGAATTAATAGTCATTATACGCAGAATTTAATGGTCTTTAATTCATGTAATAATAAAATATTGGTTAGAACGCAACGTTTCTGAACTATAGGTAAAAATCTGAAAAAAGCCCAAAATATTTACCATTTTTGGTCCTCCTGAGTCGAGCGGTGGTCGAGCAACCGTGCAAAACCAGGATACTTATGTTTCATGTTAACTGAACAAATCAAGACCATAATTAGCTTTCCAACACTTTTTTCCAAGTGAATCCTCTAATTTGATTGGCCTATTAGTGACTGAGTCAATCGATTTATTAGACGACTACTATACAGTATGTCTCCGAAATAATTCTGGCAAGCAAAAAATTGGACAAAAATTATTAAAACCATTGCCTATCATTTCGCTGTCCTAAAAATTTGTCAGATGATAGGTTATAATATAATTACAGTTGCGACTATAGTCTGGCTAATATGGAACATCCCATATAATCCTAATTTAGTAATATTTATAGAAATAAATAATTTATAATATAATCATGGGTGTGATTTGACATAAAAAAGTATTTTTTATTAATAAGATGAAAGAAAATAACGCGTCGAAAAGCATATATAAATCTGTTGGCTCAATCCGTTTTTCTATAGGCCAGTCAATCTGGAGGTTGAGGTGGAAAAAATTAGTAACCAACCGATCTCAACAGGAATGAGTAGATAATGATCTCCTATTTAACCCCTCAAAAGCCCCATTCTGTCCCAGTGGGGGAAGTTTGAAAAAAATCGCCGCCATCTTGGATTTTTTCGTTTTTTTTTCAAATATCTCCGTTTGCATAACTTTTTTCTAAAAAACTATAGATATGTTTTTTGTAGAGAATTCAATTTAGAATATTCTACCTTCAATCACATTTCTTTTCCAATATAAATAGTAATAGAGATAGAGCAATTTTTCACTATACGTTTTATAAATTTTCCAGTTTTTTAAACCAATCAGCTATAATTTTTGCGTTAACAGTAGTGTTAATATAGATAAACCAAGTATAAATTTAAGCATTAAAGCAATTAAAATTAACGTTAAATTACTAGTTATTAAATAAAATTATTGCTAAAAAAATATTATTTAATTAAAGTTATTAAGTAAAATCTGCTATGGCGTCATTTTGAGCGTCATTTTCCGCTTCAACTAAAATACAAAAGTTTATGCAACTGATTCCGTTGCACTGACCACACTTTGCAAAACATTTAAGACCCAGTTTTCTACAAGAGCAATTTGCCTTTTAATCTTTCTTCCATCCATATTGTAAAAGACCTTACTGGTTACCAATCCCTTCTTGAATCTAAAAAATACAACTTATAACATTTCCTATAATAGATATATCTCTACAGTTACCTGATAGCATGTCCTGAGTAAATGGAGTTTTGCAGAGTTCTCAGTTGGAGGCAAATTAGCTAAATTAAAGGTAATCTAAGGGCTTGTCCTGATGCAACCCTATTGTATAGAGTGTATCTCAGATGATTAATATGTTTAATATAGCTTGGGCAGTGATATAGCGTTAAAAGATAATTTAATCCTGACTGAAACAAGTCATCTTTGTTAGCATTTTTTTCTAAAAATACGTCGAGGTATTGAGAAAGATCGTCATCTTTTTTCAGTATTGACAGACACATTTTTGACTTGTTCCAGTCAGGATTAAATTATTTTTTAAAGCTATATCATTGCCCAAGCTATATAAAACATATTAACCTTCTGAGATACACTCTATACAATAGCATTACATCAAGACAAGCCTTAAGACTACCTTTAATTTAGCTAATTTGCCTCCAACTGAGAACTCTGCAAAACTCCATTTACTCAGGACATACTATAAATCATAATAAATATCAGGTGACTATAAATATATATCTATTATAGGAAATATTATAAATTGTATTTTATTTTAGATTCAAGAATGGATAGGTAACAAGTAAGATCCTTTACAATATGGATGGAAGAAAGATCAAAAGGCAATCTAACACCTATTGCTCTTGTAGAAAACTGGGTCATAAATGTTCTTGAAAGTGTGGTCAGTGCTACGGAATCAGTTGCACAAACTTTTGTATTTTAGTTGAGGATGAAAATGACGCTCAGGATGACGTCATAGCAGATTTTATTTAACAACTTTAATTTAATAATAATTTTCTTAACAATAATTTTATTTAATAAATAATATTGAAACGTTATTTTTAATTGTTTTTATGCTTAAATTTATACTTGGTTTATTTATATTAACACTATACTGTTAACGCAAAAATTATAGCTGATTGGTTTAAAAAACTGGAAAATTTATAAAACGTATAGTAAAAAATTGCTCTATCTTAATTACTATTTATTTTAGAAAAAAACTGATTGAAGGTAAAATATTCTAAATTTAATTCTCTACAAAAAACATATCTTTATTTTTTTCGAAAAAAGTTATGCAAACGGAGATATTTGAAGAAACCAAAAAATCCAAGATGGCGGCGGGTTTTTTCAAACTTCCCCCACTGGGACCGAATCCGAATGGGACTTTTGAGGGGTTAAATAGGAGATTATTATCTACACATTCTCGTTGAGATCGGTTGGTTACTAATCTTGGCTACGTTTACTGGCCTACTAATTAAAAGTTCTTCTTTTAGTTAAATCCCTAATTTGGGTTCTTTTTTTATTCTAGAATTGGGTCCTGATCAGTCCGATTTATAGAAATCTCCATAGGAAAGTATTGAAGATAGGTAGTTGAAACTTTTTTTTTGAAGAAATGCAAAGAAGATTTTGATTTTTAAACCCCGCGAGAGTGTTCTATTTTCTTTTCCGCTTGATCAAGTGCATTTTAAAAATATATATATTTCTCATTCGTTACTGCTAGGAATGTTTTTCATAATTTTTAAAAAGCTAACTTTAATTATTGTATTGAAACTACAGAGCGGACGTGGTGTTTTTTTGTTAAGTTTTGTTGTTTTAAATTAAATTAAAAAAAACAGTTCTATTTTAGGTAAAATTGTCTGTATAATTATTTAGAAGTCAACAAAAAACTTCTGAAAATAGTTACTATAGTACTATACATACAGTTGTTTAAACTTTTAATTAAGGATCTTAAAGTACCTTGTAGTGAAGACGTTTATTCTTATATAAAAGTTATTATAGATCACTAGTGACTATGTTCATTGTTGTGTATTCTATTGTATATAATTCTAAATTATGTGAATGATAAACCTACTTATATATATGTATAACAAATTATGTAAAATGTACTAAAAGTATTTTTAAAATAAATATTTTAAATTACCTACTACTTTTATTTCTTTATTATTGAAGTGAAACTTTTTTACGCGCAATGGGAGTAAAGATTCAAGGCCGTGACACGACGCGGCCTTGACATGACACGGCCTTGACATACGAGCTGGCGGGAAAAAAAGTGGTCAGTCAATGAGGAAGTTGAGATGGGTCTCTGGAGCGTCGTAACTCGGACCCTATGTAAGCTAAGAGGCTAAACCTCGGAATATAGATGGGGCCCGAAGATCTCCATCTTTTCATGATCAATGAAACAAATCAACAAATCGTCCGATTTAAATGAAATTTGGTGATGCATTGAACAAAAGCCAACTTGACTGTGTACGACACGTGTCACTGTGCAGTGGCGGACTAAGCCTGTCGGAGGCCCGGGACGGCGAAGCTAAATGTGGCCCCTGGTCTATTTAGATAATGATATACTTCTAATGTACAATTTGTAAAAATTGAAAGATGTATGTATAATGGTTGACAAAATTCAAGTATTTATACAGCGTATTCTGAGCCTGCGTTAGAAGTACTACAATATCTAGATACGTGATTTTGTCCATATCATTGTTTCACAATGAGATCTATCGATTAAAAATATTTTCAATATGGCGGCACTTTCGGAAGTACCGGAAGTTGACAGCAACTTTTATAATATATTTTATGAATTTTGATATTAAACACTTTCTACCTAACGTTACCGTTTTTGAAAAAAAAATATTTATAATTTTTGGAGGAAAAAAACTGCCTGTCAAAAATATGTATAACGTCAAATTAAACATTAACGTCAACTAAGCCAAATTAAGTGATTGAAACGTCAAATTAAGTGATTGCCACAGCCACTGTACCATAAAGAGAAGACATGTGGCTATCTATATATGTCAAAAATTAGATTGTCCGAATGTCATATAATAATGGCCGCAGCTGTCATGGAATTGAGCGATTAAAAAATTATCATAAATCATTTTTTTTTTTTCAAATGGAAATACACTTTTTTTATTTCACTCGTGAAAAGGCCTTCGTTACTTTCGTTTTTAAAAGTTGTTACTTTTTGACTATAAATGTTCCTGTACCTAAAATAAATCGTTTTTAAGTTATTTAAGATTTAGCTTTAAAACGTATATTTTTCTTGATTTTAACCAGTAGCCTTTGACAGTATATTATCGATCATTTCCAAGCTAACTTTGCGCTGTTTTTTTTTTCGATCGTACGGTATATTATTAAAATATCACCTATTAGATATTACTAAAGAACGAAAATACGAGATATATTTATTAAATACACTTTTTAAACTTTTCAGCAGGCAGTAGTTATAATATAGGAAATTCAAATAATTCATTTTCTGACAGATGGAAATAAATTGTCTGACTGTTTGACACTTAATGCCAAAGGAAGCTAGATAAAATCAAGAAAAATATACGTTTTCAAACTAAATCTTAAATAGCTTAAAAACTATTTATTTTAGGTATAGGAATATGTCTAGTTAAAACGTAACGAATTGGAAAACCTTTTCACTAGTGAAATAAAAAAGTGGGTTTCCATTTGGAAAAAAATTATTTATGATAATTTTTTAATCGCTCAATTCCATGACAGCTACCGCCTTTATTATATGACATTTGAACAATTTAATTTTTGAAATAGATAGCCACATGTCTTTTCTTTATGTCACAGGGGCTGTGATAATCACTAAATTTGACTTTTAGGCTGTACAATTTTTTAACAGGTAGTTTTTTTTCGTCCAAAAATTTTAAATATTTTTTTCTTAAGCATGCTTCCAGGGAAATACCGCGGCAAAATATCGCGATTTTGTAACTCCTCCAAGATCCGAGGGGCCCCTTCGCTGTCTCAGGCCCGTGGCCACCGTTATACTAAAGACTTCACTGCTCATCATTAGTAATGAAGCTAGAATACAAGTTATGCTGTGCATTAGTTTTACCTAACCAAACCAAATAAATAATGAAACCATTGAAAAATAACTTAAAAGCTAAAATAAATAAATTCAGTCTCAAAATATATAAAAAATAATAATTATTCGATATTTTAAACAAAGATAAACCACTTGATTGAATTTCCTAAATAGAAAATGCCATTGACAATTACTGGGGCCTGATAATTGATAATTAAGTAAATATCTGCTTCTATTTATACTGTTTATAGTCGGCGTATACGTATGGTTTGCATACTCCACCTACAAACTGCTTTATAACTACTGAACACATATTGGCCTTGTTTGCTAGTTGAATAAAAAATGACTTAAGATTCGGTGGCCCCCTAAAAGACGGGGCCCGGGGCGGACCGCCCCTTCCGCCCCCACCCCATAGTCCGCCACGGTCACTGTAACAGTTAATTTTGATTGAAGAAACGTCAAAAGTTGATGTCGTCCGATTACGAGCAAATTTGAAAAAAAATTGGGTCGATTTCGGCTTAATTGAAGACGGGCTACATCATGGACGAAATCATAAGGATTTTTCTTAATTATGGGTCGATTGGAACCAAACTCGTCACGTGGATAGAGGTACCCGAATGGAGTCCTCAGATGGACAGACAGACAGACAGACGGAAGTAAGCAGAAATTTCACTTCAAATATGCGCACACAGTGCACACACATTTTTTTAAATTATTTATCACTCAGTATTATGTCAGGTATTATATTATTTATATTATAAGTTAATGTTAAAAATTTATCAACAATGCATTTATGTAATTAAACAATATCTGATTAGTCTGCACTTTTTTTAGGTCATATTTTTTCAATAACGATAATTAGTCTAAATTCTTTAATAGTTGGAAAGTGTTTGTGAATTTGTGAGGACCGAAGAGTAAAAATGGTAAGTATAATTCTTAATATAATTTATTGTTCTTTTGCAAATTTTACTCTGCAAAATTCGACAAAAAAGAAATGAAAATAACAAATCAACTATTTCTTATTATTGTTAAATTCTTAAAGTGCAGATATCTAAAAACAGAAGATACTTAATAAAGATAACAAAGATAGATACAAAATTATATTTTAATCAATCTTTTGATAATAATCAGAGCTATACCGGGTATGTCTCAAAAGTGGTTCACCCCTATAACTTTTCTATTTTTTCAGATAAAAAAAACGAGATTTTAATACTACTACTAACATTACATACTATAATTAACACTATTTAATTATAGAAAGATTAAAAAATAATAGATCCCCGCGTTTCCAGATTCACAAATCGATTTCCAAAAAATTATATTTTCTAGAATTATAAACTACTAGATAAATTCCTTCAAGCGTGCAACAATGATTTTTTAATGTTAAACTGGAAATTATATATATACTACACTTATAAAACTAGTTATACAAATAAAGACTAGAAACAAAAGAATAAATTCAGAAAAAAAAAACACATCCGCAAGAATTCTAAGCACAGCTTAATCTATTTTGTGTTCTATTCCAATCAATATAAAATGATAAACAAAACTGTCAAAAAATGCATTAATATAAAAATAGTGTTACTCATTCCTTGGTCCTTTCATTTAATGGGTATTGTAGATAATAATCTTAAGCCATAAAAAATTAAACTTTTCTGAAAAATGTTAAATTTGTCTTTTTAGCGGTTCTATCCACAAGTCATACTATGGACCTACGTCGTTTTGCCGGCGATAGCACTCCTATTACTGCCACATCTAGTTCGAGCTGTAGCCAAAGCACAACATAATAGAGCTAAACTTCTCTCTAATGCCCTGCACGCGAGAAATAAAGCTGCACCCCTTGGTAGAAATCAGCAGCAACGTAGATACAATCCCTACAGCAGTTACAGCACCAATGCCAGATCCAGATCCATACGTGAAGTAGATCAAATGGATGGTTTTATGGTTAGTATAGATTGACTATGATATAGAGTTATTATTGGAACTCTAGATCACCACATACAAGATGAAGCCCAAGACTCCCTTGATCTTGGTTATGCAGTTATTAAGTAATTTTGGTTTTACAGGGTCCTTTACAGGGTCTATTACACTTTACTTTCGAGTTGCTCTCAAGGGTCGGTTAGCCGAAAGAAATATATATTATATTTCAGATATCTGCTTAAGGCTTAGCCCGATCCTGTCGTGTTAAGCCTTACCCAAAATTCCAAACATTGCTTTTATTGATTATTATTTGATTTGCTTTGATTAAGGCTTTATTAAGGTTTGCAGAGCTTCAGCGTTTACCATACAATAGCGAGCAATTTGTTACAAAATCATATAAGTTATATGTCACTGTAATCACAGAACTACAATCTATTTCCGTATTGTAACGAAATTTCAAATTATGTCTTTATATTCGAGAAAATTTAGTCCAAACATAAGGAATATTTTGATGATGTTTGACCCTCAAAATCTTAAAAATAAAGAAGTTGTCTAAAAATGTGCTACAATACGGATATAGTGTAATCCTTTATATTTAATTTCCTTCTTCATTTGTATAAAAATACCTAGCCAGTTTTACATAAAACGTTAAATGCCGAACGCTTTTTCTGTTACTTTTTTAGACTAATAAAATGGACTCTTAATAGATTTTTACCAGAGGCACTTTATACATAGAAAATCTTTAAATAAATCGTATTTTAGTAATTTAATGCAAATAAAAACTTAATGAATCAATAAAATTATTAAAATATTCCCCTTCTTTCTTGCAATAGTCGGGAAAACACTATTTGCAATAGATTCAAAATAATAGTTTTAAACAAATAAGTAATTTGTTGAATTATACAGGGTTCGGCAATAGTGCGTCGGGCATCTGTAGCTCTTAGAATTAAAAACGTGGAAATTTTGTTTTAAATGGAACACCCTGTATATTATTGCATTTTTAGCTTCCTTTTAGATCACTTTTCATAATCCTAAGATATGAGCTTATATATGACCTATACGAGTAAATATTTTTCGATAGTTACAGAGATATTAATAAATAAATAAAACATATATATTTTACAGCCTTTCTTAAAAAAATTATTAAAAATACAAGAACCGCCCTAAAATCAAAACTATTAGGTATTTACTTTAGACGGTCTGTACTTACTTTGCTATAAATATATCAATCTTCAAAATTCTATGCCAAAATTTCTAAAATATAAAATAAATTATCGCCCTGTATATTATTTTTCATTAGATGGAGAATTAAAAAATGAACATTTTTTGTATTTAAAGTATTTCAAAATTTTTAACGGTTTCGTAGAACACGCAGTATCATTTCATATGTCTCTCTCAACGGTAAAATACGATAGAAAAAAATATTGGGTGGCTTTGATAAAAATTTACAGTTCATTTCTTAATTCTCCATCTATTGAAAAAGTAATATACAGGGTGTTATATTTAAGAACACGAAGAAACATTATTTTATATTTTAGAAAGTTTGGCGTAGAATTTTGAACATCCTGTATGATTTACGATTACCATATTTATAGCAAAGTAAGTACAGACCACCTAAACTAAATACCTAATATAGTTTTGATTTCAGGACAGTTCTTGTATTTTTAATATTTTTTTTAAGAAAGGTTGACAAATATATATTTTTTATTTATTTATTAATATATCTGAAACTACCGAAGTATATTTACTGAGATCTTAGGATTATGTAAAGTGGTCTGAAGGGAAGCCAGAAGGGTAATAATATACAGAGTATTCCATTTAAAAAAAATCATCCCAATCCGCTCACACTTTTTTGAGCCACCTTATAGAAGTTAAAATATTTTCCTGAAATACAACCTAAGAAATAGTTTAGGTTTACACTTAAACAAGATTCCCAAGTTTTTTATAATTGTATAATTGTATACAGATTCCCGACGCACTATTACCGGACCCTGTATAACGGCGAAAAAAAAATGAAAAACCTCATTGGAAAATCCTCACTTGATCAGAAATATTCACAATAGCAATAAACCTTGATAATAATATACTAAAATATTTATTAGGAAAACGACTTTGATGACTCAATTATACAAGCACCGAATCCAATGTTCGCATCTTCATTTCAAAGCGGTCCAGGATTTGGACCATCGCAACGGTTCGAATCTATGCGCCAGGCCTCTGATAACACGTACATGTTAGATGCATCATCACCAATGTTGGCCAGGATGAACGAGCCTTCTGAAATGACCGAGGATGGCATTGTGGTAAATAATGAGAACTTCACGCATTCAAATTTTTGCAATACTAACGTAACTGTTCTTACATTTTAAGGCTTCAAACTGGGACCAGCAACAAGAATCGCTTGGAGTGCTACAGAACATGTGGAACATGAATGGGTTTGGTGCAAATAATGCAAACAGCGAGGTCTTAAGGAACAATCCAGATGATATACAGTAAGAATAAAACGAATTAGATCTAAAACTAAATAACATAATTTTAAAATATAAAAATTTAAATTAAAATTTTATTGACATTATGGTGAATCATTTAAATGGTTTAATTAAATTTACGAAGACACCAATAAAATATTGCCAATCTATAGTATACACTAATTGCCAAATCAACGTAAGAATTAATCAAAATAAAACACTAAATCACCACAACACACCAAAACACTTTTACTTTTACACTGGACGCGCGTTTCGCTAACCATGTTAGCATCATCAGCAGATGATTATAAACTGAAACTAAAAACACTAAATCAATTTATTATCATCTGCTGATGATGCTAACATGGTTAGCAAAACGCGCGTCCAGTGTAAAAGTAAAAGTGTTTTGGTGTATTGTGGTGATTTAGTGTTTTATTTTGCTGTGTAACACCAAAGGTTCCAACCCTCAACTGTAAAAATTAATAACATTCCTGACTATAAAATTCGGTGTACGAGCATTGGTATATCGGTAACCGTAATAGTAATAGGTAATTTGTGGTAATAGATACGAACATAGTTAAATTGGGGCAAAGTTGCGCTTTGGGATGTTCACTAAGATGCCATCAAAAAAAAATTCAAAATTTCAAGGACTGCTGAGATTCTTGGAAAAAACAATTTTTTTTGAAAATCAATTTTATTTTTTCCTGTCATTACTTTTTAGAAAATCAAAAAACTAATTACACACTCTCATAGCCACTTTATTAGGGCTATCTGATAATATTTTTAGATTTTCAAATTAGCTGATAATTTATGAGATACAGAGGCCGATTTAATTTTTTTAAATACGGACCTGCATTTATTATTTCAGGTTTTGAAAGAACTCGGTCAGTCATCAAATAAGCTAATTTGAAAATTTAAAAATACTATCAGATAGCCCTAATAAAGTGGCTATGAGAATGTGCAATTGGTTTTTTGATTTTCTAAAAAGTAACGACAGGAAAAAATAAAATTGATTTTTAAAAAAATCGGTTTTTTCCAAAAAACTCTGCAATCCTCGAAATGTTTCAAATTGTTTTAATTGCATCTTAGTGAACATTCCAAGGCGCAACTTTGCCCTAATTTAACCATCTTTGTATCTATTACGGTTTCCGAGATGGCAATGCTAGTACCACGAATTTGTAGCACCCTGTATACAGAGATCTTTAATAAAGTCACGGTGGCTGGACCGAACAAAATAATTAATATTTTATTGACAATATGGCGAATATATATTATGCGTATTTAGAATTTAAAATATATTTTTTATTTTAGATTTAAAAAAATTGTTAGGGTTCTTCATTAGGAAATAATAAATACTCTAAATTTTATAATCTTATTATTGCTTAAAATCAGAATGTTAGTAAGAACAGTAAGAGAAAAGCTATTTGAATATTTTATTAAAAAGTCTGTTGACATTAAGGTGAGTACCTATTATCTTAATTTATTATAACTTCGCCTATCGACAAATTAATAATACGTCATACTAATTATATGTACTAACTATATATATACTAACTATATATATCTATTTAAATTTTAAAACATATTTATATGTTTTATTATCCAAATATCACTTAGAGTAAATACGTTTGCTTGTACCTATAATCTTTTAGTATAAAATGTCCTAGTTAAATTATCATCTTCAAAGAAGTTTTACCTATATGGCCGTCACTAGTTACAATTCCCTTGATAATGATTTTAAACAATGTAATTTTGGCCAATTGCGAAAAAAATAAAATGTTTCTTTTGTCTTCACAGGAATGATAATGGTTTTGTATTTTTTGTTTATTTTTTAAAATTATTTATTATGCCATGTGTATAAGAATTAACTATGTATATTTTTTAATTTGTTAGTTTATAGAACATATTTTTTTGTCTTTTTTGTCTTTTAAACGTATTTTTCAACAAATATCTTCTGGCAGCTATGGGTGGTTAAATGTAAGAATAACTTTTTTTGTTAAATTTCGCCACCCTTGTTGCATGATGTGTAATAATATATGTAATGTTACACATCTTTTTTTCTTCAATAAAGACGATTATTATTATTATTATTATTATTATTATTAAAATTTAGCAAATAAATATTGGTGATGTGGTAAAACTATTTAAATTTTAAAACATATTTATATGTTTTATTATCCAAATATCACTTAGAGTAAATATGTTTGCTTGTACCTATAATCTTTAGTATAAAATGTCTTAGTTAAATTATCATCTTAGTCACATTTATATTAACATAAAACTTTATACAGGGTACCATTTAAGACCTGGTGGTCTTAATAAGTGCAAATATATTCATGGCTGGTAGATCTCTATAAAAGAAACATATTTTCTCTCTGCCGTTTTTCAAATAAGTCCAAAATAACTGAGTTAATTTACTTTAAAAATACAAAAAAAACTGCTTAAATTTTAAAGTTAAGACTCTCCCTGTATAATAGAATCTCTAACTAAAGGAACAGTCAGCAATACATAATACAATTTTAGACTATCTTTAGAAAATTGCCTATTTATTATTATATCTATTTTTGTTTAATTGCACTTTTTTTATTAGTTTGTTTTTAATTACCTTTATAGAACAAAATTAATAAACATATATTTTTTAGTAATCCAATGGCAGGTTTTGAAGAGAAATCCGCTAGTGCCGATCCATCCCCGCATAAGAAGAAAAAGAAGTACGGAAAACACTACAAACCAAATTACTACTACCCACAAAATTATTACAGCTCCTATGCTTCCGCTTATTCTTCTTATGGAAGAAATAACGATCAAGAGGGTGAAATGTTTGAAGATCCCCAAATGGATAGTCACGTCAAGTAATCTTTTATATAATAGTATTTTTCTCATAAAGCTTTCTGTTGTAGTAAGGCGCATTTATACAATAATTTCATCATTTAAACCATGGTAGTCTTCATCACATTCTCAAAGAAATATTTATGCTTTGATCAAATAATATCAAAAACACTAATTGACTATAATTATTGTTCACTATATATATAGTAGTAGCACACAACTAAATAAACAAAGATAAGTAGGCATGGGGTCACTTGAGACAGACAGCCACATCCGGTCCAGACACCGAATTCCAGGAACCCAATCAGATAAGAACATGTAAAATGCGTTAATAAATAAGGATAAGCAGGTTTGAGCCGCTTTTGAACTGCTTTGAACAGCTTTTAGTTTAAACAAAACCTGTTCATTTTTGGTCAAACCTGTTTATTTCTGTTTTAAACCGGTTCACCGCGGCTCAAACCTGTTTATCCTTATTTATTAACGCATTTTACATGTTCTTATCTGATTGGGTTCCTGGAATTCGGTGTCTGGACCGGATGTGGCTGTCTGTCTCAAGTGACCCCATGCCTACTAAGATACAACTTCTTTGACGTATATAATATTTATTTATGATTTTCTATTGCAGCGAAGAAGAGTTTTCAAATGTTGATCCCATGCATGAAGAAATCCCCGTCCAAGAAGAGCAAATGAGAGTAAATAAATAGATCTTTAAACACAACATAAACTCTATATTTCTTTATTTTAGGCAAACCCTGAAAATTTACCTACTGAAGTACCAGAAGAACCAAAGAATGATACAGTTGGGTAGGTGTTAAATTTAATATTTTACAATACTGTTATCATACATATCATAAATTTCAGATGTGAACTTGAAGATAGCTACGAGAAGAAAGACAAAAAAGGTAAATATCCAAATTATGATCCATATGTCTACTATGAACGAGCAGTTGAAGAAATGGCTGATTTGAACAAAAAAATTAAGACAGAAACTGACAAACTCCTTCATCCTGTTCATCCGGCACAACAAGAACCTCAAGTATTACCAGTCATTGACAATACCAATAATGATTTTAATAATTATCAATCTGAGAATGAAGAAACTCAATCGGACGACAGTTCAAATCTACAAAGGTAAATTAGTACCCCATTATCAACTTTTATTTCCCCAACTCGTCTTCTACTCTTATTTCTCTTGCTTCTGATCTTTCTGTAGATTCTTTAAGTCTCTGGTGGGGTACCAATGTTAAATGAATAAAATAAATCTTAGTCAATAACTTCCAATTAACTAATTTTAATTATTATAGTATACCACCTGTGATGGAAGAGAAATCTGCAGATCCTCATCATCATTCCCGTGGATTTAGCCACACACATACAATAACACATACTCACAGCCTCAACAACAATTTTGGTAAGCCCTTCCAAGCAATTCAGCCAGTATATGAACAGCCTAAATACAATCCCAACCAATTTAATGCTCACAGTAGTTCTGCTCATGCCGCTTCAAAGACATTTAACCTAAACGGTGGCTTTGGACACCAAGTCCAACCTTACAGTAATGAAGGATTTATCCAACCTGGTGCACAGGCAACTGCCCAAGCAGGCGCAACGGGTAATTTCGGACATGCTGGAGCACAAGCTCATGCTCAAGCAGGAACTCAAAGTTTTGGACAAACCGCTGCTCAAGCTGTTGCAAATACTGGCCTAAATGGTTTTAGTGGGACATTTGTGCCAACTACGGCCCAAGCTCTCGCTCAAGCCAGCTCCATAAATCAACAAACGGGACAAATATATGGTTTAAACAATAATCAAAGGGAAATTTCAAACGCCCTTGCTGGTTCACAAGGGGGTGTGATCAATGGAAATGGAAACACTGTTGTACAAAATCAAATTCTCGGAGATTCACAACAAGAGGTTCAATCCCCTATGTTTCAAGTAGATGATGCCAGTCAAAGCTTCGTAGGTAATCCAGAACTTGTTCCTAGAGTGACTAGATCTCTAGGTGGAAGTAACGAAAACACTCCAGAAATGCCTAACTTTTCAACAGAGTTCGATAATATTATGAACAGAAACCGTGAAAGTGTCGATAAAAGCTCCAGTGAAGAATCAAAAGAAAGCCAAGAACTAAATGTGGAACCAATTAAAAATAAGTTTCCGCAAGATTCTCAAACTCACATATTCCGTGTAACTACAACAGAAAAGAGCCTCTCACCTACAACTGAAAAAGTCTACAGTTCAAGTAGATCAGAAAACTTAAACTTAGATGAGAAAACTGACCATAGTTCAACAGAAACTAATATTGTACAACATACATCTACGTTTCCAACAACCCAGTCATCTTTTGAAACGAAAACTTCTGATAAAATGACCACTATTGAACCTTCAACTTCGAATTGGGATCATAAACAAACACTTGTTACTTCGCCTCCTAACTTAGATTCTCAAAATAATGGCAATACTGCCCAGAATGACAATTCTGAAACCGATGGAAATCAACCATCAAAACAAAAATCTGAAGAAATTAATGTGCCTCTTGGAATGATGAATCCAGATGATTTAACCACTCCGATAACAGTCACTATCGAACCCTGGGCATCAAATTGGGACTACAAACGAAAAATTGAGTTTCCTGTTAAACCAAAAACTAACGAAAAATCTCGTATGAATGATAGTTCTGGGAGAAACAGAGAGGAAGCCAATGTGCCTCTTGGAATGATGAATCCAGATGACTTAACCACTCCGATAACAGTCACAATCGAACCCTGGGCATCAAATTGGGACTACAAACGAAAAATTGAGATTCCTGTTAAATCTAAAACCAACGAAAAATCTAGTATGCATGATAGTTCTGAGAGAAACAGAAAAGAAGGCAATGTGCCTCTTGGAATGATAAATCCAGATGATTTAACCACTCCGATAACGGTCACTATCGAACCCTGGGCATCAAATTGGGACTACAAACGAAAAATTGAGATTCCTGTTAAATCTAAAACTAACGAAAAATCTAGTATGAATGACAGTTCTGAAAAAAACAAAAAGGAAGGTAATGTACCTCTTGGAATGCAAAATCCGGATGAGTTAACTACCACTCCTCGACCGCGAAAAATTGAAATTTCGCCTCCTATAGAGAAATCCAGTATAGATGAAAATTCTGAGAGTGATGTAGTTCTTGGTATGCAAAATCTAGATGAGTTAACCACTATTACTCCAGTAGCTTTTCCTGAAGAACAGTCGGCTTCAAACGATTTTAAAAGAAATTCTGGAAGTTTATTGTCCCCAATAGAATCTCAATCAACTGATATATCTACTATTTATGGCGATGATATTGCACCATCAAAACCCGATGCACAAAAAACATTCTTAAAGCAGGAGCCCGTCGAATTGGACATGTTTGATCGCGAACTGGATGCAACTAAAGATATAATTGATGAAGTTTTAGGATCAACTCATAAAGATCAAAGTAATGAATTTGAAACAAAGAAAACGAAAGCTTCGATTTTCGATAAAGACGTAAGATTACCTAAACTAAAGCTATATCTTTTTTAACCCTTGACATATTATTTGCAGATGTCTTCTCTAACCGACGAGGAAATTGAAGAAGTGCAATTTTCCCAGCCTGACAATTCTGCCAGTAACGAACATATTGTTGGAGCTTCTTTAACAGAAACAGAACACACTAAACTTGATACAGCTAACAATCCTTTGGTATAATATGACACTTAATTGCTTCCCTCCTTCTAATTATACACTTAATTTACAGGAAACTACAAGTTCACCTAATAAGAAGTCACCATTCAGCTTCAATATAACGGGCGGTCCTTTCAGCAGCATTGAAGAGCAACTCTCTGAATTAACTGAGGATGAAAGGGAAACCTTTCTAAAACAAGAAATGAAATTAATATCGGATGTAATAGATGAGGCGTTGAAGAAGAAAGGGTCATCTAAAGAAGCACTACATGAAAAGAAAGATGGTGAGAACTGTTATTAATATTTAATCATTTTAATGTATTATAATAACTTTTCTAGAAACTAAGAACAAAGATATAAAGGAAATTGAAGTATCGTCTCCAAACCTTATGAATGTACGCGATCGCGAATATATCGACGAATACCGCAGAGATGCCAATTCGAATGAACAACAACATTTTGATGCTGTTTTAGGACAGCAAAGAGAACAAGTGGAATCGATAAAGGAACTGTCAAACGCAGATCCTGATCTAGGAATGATAAGTAAGATGTAACATTCTATAATTTTGTAACTTTATAAATATTCTAATATATTTTTAAGAACTTTATAATACAAGTTTGTTTTACTTTCAAATCCACCCCCTAAAAAATATTTGAAATAAATTTATTACTAAATAAATTCATAATAAATAATCTGGTAAGTGTAACAGAATTCAAATGAAAATTTAATTTTTATCAATTACCACTTTTAGGTTCAATTGGGGAAAGTGTGTTAAACGATTTAGAGACCAGGAATCACCAAACGAAGAATAGTCCAAAGAAACAGGACAAAACTAAAAGAAGCATAGAGGAAACAAAGAAAAATCCTATTCCATTAACTCACTGGGTGAGTGATCCAACCACAAAAGTAGATGTACCAAAAACATTACAAAATATTGGATCCGTTACCAAACATACATTTGAAAATGTCAAGTACGATTAATTTATAACTAAATATATTTTCTTAACATTTAAATTTTTAGGGCACCCATTTATCATACTAGGAACATGATAGGAAATACTAAAAATATGATACTGTCAGTAGCTAAAATACCTCCAAACAATTTGTTTTTCCCTTCCAAATACGAGATCATTAAAGTTGATGATAAGGATGGTGGTGGTGATACATTAGGAGCAATAAATCAGCAAATGTTAATATCTCGTAGTGGAGATCCAACCGAGATCAAAAATAATCAACAAGATAGCCAAATGTCGCAAGAAAAGAAGGGAGTCACGAATACTTTTACCAAGTTAGGAAATATACTTAAAAATAGTGTTGATAGTGGAAAGGATACTATTGGGCATTTCAATGATGTTGCAACCGACATACGGTAATTTATATGGTAATAATGGTAAAAATAGTTTAAATACTAATATTTCAGAAATGTCGTGTATACCTCGAAACACGCTGCTCCACGAATAATTGTACCAAGCAAAATACCATCCTTAATTACAAAAGATGCCGAATCCAGTATGCTTGGCAAAAAAGCTGTTTTAATTGCACCAAGAATATTAGATTTAGCCGAAGACCCTGTAGTTTCTCAACCAGAACAACCAAGTAACTTTGTTGGTGCTGGTGATGTACTAGGTAAATAAAATTTAAACCGGCTAATATAATTAACTCAATAAAATTTACCTTGTAGATGCTCTTGGACTGTCCTATCCCAATCAACCCGAAGTGCCTCTAGAAAAAATAGTACTTGAACCATCTGCGATAAATGTTTTAAAACAATTTGATATACCCAAAGAGTTGCGATCTTCACATCCTTTAAAAGATTGGGTAAAGGAAAACTTTAAGGTTAATATTGTGGATTTCAAATAATTTACTGTAATTAAACCTAAATACTTTCAGGTGAATCAAAATCAACCTACAGTTGTTGGTGAAGCCAAGCCAGAATCAGTTAAAGACTTTTTAAAAAGAATGCAACAAGAACTGAAAGAAAAATTAAGAAGCGAAAATTTAGAGAGGGCAAGCAAGAGAAAAGAAAAATCAAATAAATCCAAAAACAAAAAATACAAGAAGTCCCAGAAAAATCGGAAAAGTAATTATATACCCTTCAATAAATATCTTTTATAATTAAATTTCATTCTTTCTCATTTTAAGGTGACAAACCAATTGGTAAATCCATTCAAGATCAAACACAAAATCTCAGAGATTATGATAATATTATAATTCAACCAATAAAACAAAATGAAGGTGAACTTGTAGGAATATTTTTGTCTCCTGAACTAATGAAGCCTTTCATGGGACAACCATCTCAAACAATGATTCAGGATTACTTTAGAGAAAATGGTGATGCATCATTTGATGGCACAGAAAATCACATTATATCAAAAAACAACTTCAATCAAAATATTCCTTCAAACTTAAATGACAGACCTCCGATTCCGTATTCTAACAGGAACAAAATGCTTGAAAATGAAAAGGTAAATTACACATCTCATACATCAGACTTGGGTCACATTTTAGGAGCTATAAATCCAATGATGCTCGAAAGATACTTCAATGAAAGAATTGATCGTACAGATTCTGCACACAAAGACCCATTTAGTGCTTTTTCAATAGCTCATGTTGATGAAGGTACTGCAAATAAAGATATAGTAGAAATGCCCCAACTTACAAACTACAATAGCCAATATAATGGTGAAAGTGGAAGTATAGATTCAATAGCACACTTGGATAAAAGTAATGGAAATAAAAACGGAGTGAATATGCCTCGATATAAAAACTTTAATAACCAATACGATGGAGAAAGAGAAAGTATAGATTCATGGCTAAAGTTAGTAGAAGAAAATCCAACAATAATTGAAGATCTAAATAATCAGGAACAGACTAAAGAAGATTATAAGACAAATGAAAATACAGTTGACGGTAAAACTCAATCAATGTATGGTGATAATGATAAACAAATACAGATAGAAAATAAGATAATAGAACATGTACCTATTGTTGAGGTAACAACTTTAATTAATAGGGTGATACATAACAAGGACATCAAAGATGATTCTGTATATAACAATCCCGTCAACAATATTAGACTATCAGATACAGGCACAAAAATTACAGAGACTAATCTTAAATTAGATATCCCATCAGAGCAGCAAAATAAAAATAAACCACTTCAAGACGAAAATGGAAGTTCTAATATAGAATCTAGAACAGAAATTGCCAATGAAAATAGTCAGCAACTATTACTTAAAAATTCAAATGAATCAATCAAAAACACACCTGATGAAACTACTTTAGAAATGATACAAAACGACAAGCAACTTAAAATGGAAAACAAAAACGTACATGAATATCTAAATGTGGATGAAATACCTACTTCAAGCAGTAAATCCAATAAGTATGGTAGTAAAGAATATGACCTTGTTGAAGAAGTAACTTTGAATCCATTACAAATATCACATAAAACATATAATGTTCCAGACAAAGTTTCACTTAAATTAGAACCACCCCAACAAACACATAATGAACAAATTATGAAAGATAATATACAGGTACATCCTCAGTTCATAAATAAAACTATGACCAGCAATCTAAGCGCCAGTAATAACATTGAAATTACTACATCTAGCGAAGAAATTAAATATGACGGCAATAAGAATGATAAATATAATGCAGAAACTTTAGGAACTTTAACAGTAGTACGTGAAGGTGGGGATATAATGAATAAATCTGTACCAACAGTTAAAACGACAGAATATCTAAACAGTAAAACACAGGCCGATCATGTAAGTAAAAATTTATTTTCTGAATTGACAGATAAAAACGCAATAGACCACTCAAAGATAAGCGATGATAATTATAAAGTTCAAGCAAAGGAACAAAATGCAAATGGTAAAGAATCAGTGAAAAATGCCTTTCCTAAAATAAAAATAAAAATAGGAGAAAATATAAATAAACAAATTAATCTTGAAAATAAATTACATTCATTCAAAGTTCATGAGACTAGTATTCCAGTCAATATATTGAATGACAGTAAAAATCAACCAGATGAAGAAGATTCAAAGAAAAACAGTAGTGAAAGTGAATACAAAGAAACAATTATTAATGAAAATAATAAAAAGTCAATTAAAAAGGTTATTAAAACTACAAAGGAATTAGAGAACGGTAAAAAAGAGCAAACTAATAATGAAAATACTCAAAAACAATCAACCTATAGTAATGAAAGTGCTTCTTCAACTTCTGTATTCAACAAAAATAAAAATGAACCAGATGATGATGAGGAATCTGAAAAAGATGCGCGGACGTCAATGAAAATTTATGATACATACCAAAAACCATTTATGGGGCTGGCTAATAAAGATAAAATTCATAAGTTTTTAGATAAATATAATACACCAACTAAAGAACAAAATGAAATAAGTTACGATTCACCTATAAAAGACTTTATTTACTCAAATTATGATCAAAATGATGTGGATTATTTTTATTAGATAAATATAAGAAAAAATAAAAAATTAATAAATTTGAACCTAAGTTTTCTTTAAATTTGCCAGTTTTATTACATTTTCAGCTTGCCTCATAGTTGGCATATCTATCATACTTCCTTTATAGGTAAAGGCACCCTAAAAATAAACAGGTTATTGTTTATATCTAGAAAAAAATTTACACATTTACCTTTCCATCTTTTTGATGCTTCTCAAATGACTGTAAAAGACCACTAGCCCACTCAATCTGAGAGGCAGAAGGTAAAAACGCCTCTTGTACAATGGGCACTTGTCCAGGATGTATAACTTGCTTTCCAGTATATCCCATTTTCATACCTTCTTCGCACTGTTTTTTCAAACCCTCCAGATCTAAGCAAATTCTAATTATAGAATAGAACTATGCCCTATGGTAAAAGACTTACCTTTATATTTTATATATACCATATCAATAGCTTGCAAGTTAAATGCTTTTGCAACTAAAACCAACTTCTGTCGAGCATATAATATTTCAATGGAACTTTCAGTTCGAGTGGCTCCAATGTTAGCACAAAAATCATCACTACCAAAAACTAAGCTAACTGGCTGTATATTACTAGTTTTCGAAAGACCTTCTGCAGTTTTACATATATCAACTATATTCAAAAATGCTCTTGCAGACTCTATATAAATTATAACATTAATTTTTTTGTCAGATTTAATCCTTTGTTTAACTTCTTCTGAAAACTATCAGGAAGGCATGGTTGCTAAATGATTATTTATGTTAAGATCTTTACTACTAACTTGCTTGATTGTATCAGCTGTTTCTACTTTTGGAATTAAAATTGTATCAGGAAGGTTAATGGCAGTTAGACATGATTCTAAGTCCTCTTGCCAGTACTCTGTATCGAATGCATTAATTCTCACCCCAAAATCATAATCTCTATCTTTTGATGGTTTTCCTTTGTCGAGAAATGACCTAATAGTTTCTCTGGCTTCTCTCTAAAAAAACAAATTGATATCAATTACAGACAATTTTAATAAAGGGTTTATATTGGTACCTTTTTATTAACAGCAACCCCATCTTCACAGTCTAATGCAATGCAGTCTACATCTAGTGTCAGAGATTTACTTATTTTCTTTGGATCATCTCCCGGAACGTACATAAGTGCTCTTCTTGGTACATTGTATTTCCGTACTATAATCTTTAGTTAATGAAATTAATATTATCTTTTGTATTTGAATTGTTTACCTTGTTTATGTTCAAAAATCTGGGTATTGTCCTAAACTTAACAAAGCTTACCAACATTACGTAAAATGTATTATGACTGAAGCAAAGATTAATTCTCAATGTTTGATTGAGGTATAATTAACGAAACACAATAACAAATGGCATAAAAATATTTATCTAGAATCAAAACAACATATTTCCACAGTTCTTTTTCTTTCAAATTTTTTGAGGTTAAGATTTTTAAAGGGCAAAATGTCAATGTCAAAACAGGATTATGAGTATGTTCCAAGATTAACTATTAAAAGTTTGTAGGTTCGTTCCAGGTTTGGCTGTTTTTAAAAAAATCTCCAAAAAAACTTGAGGGCACTAATTTGATGAATTCATGAACTGACACTGTGTATAAAAACTACAAAAATAAAATATAAGCAAAGTTTTATTTATAGATGGAATGTAGGTAGGTACATCTTCTGGTATTTATAGTTATTTTTACAATGGCAAAATAAATACTTAATATAAGTCTTAATATTATAAATATCAAACTGAAAGTCCTGTATCGAGCTCGACGATTTGCCTTTATTTTCTCTAAAACTACGAAATTATAACTAAGTCTCTTATATTTAATAAATCACTTTGATTGACCAGATTTCAGAAAAAATCGTCGCACTCTCTGACAATATTGGGGCAGTACTTTTTTGCATATCGCAGATATGGGACGTCCGAATTTACAGGTATTTTGCGACTAATACTAAACTTATTCCATACGTGAATTATATGACTGATGTTCGTACAAGACACAACCTGCTCCATATGTTTCTTGTCAAAGAACCACTTCCAGTTCCACCAAGGCACTGCATAGAACTCGTTTACGGGATAGATTTTGAAGTCTTGGCAGTTTTTACCGCTCATTTCTTCGATTTTGTTGGTCTGGCACAGTCGTTTCAATAATCTAAAATTATTAAAATTACTATAACTAGCGTAATCTCAACGAAGAGAAGTTTACATGTGATGTTTACCAAAGTAAAAACGAAATTCCGTATGATCGAAAAAAAAGGCGTCAAAGACGGCTGGGAAACGACGATGGCAATTTTGACAAGGTCAATCTCCAGACGTCATTTGACTGAATCTGTTCTGAATGTTTTTTTTTGGAAAATTAATATTTTTTTTTCAGTTTGTTGTTAAATTTTTGGATTAAACTAAGATAATAGAGTGTCGTCATAACTTAAATAAAATTAGAAATTAGAAAATGGTACCTCGTAATAGTGCCAGGACCGTTGTAACCCCAGTCGTCACCATTGAAATTTAAACTGAGATCGTTCAAGCAATCTGTGACGTATTTGTGTCCATCGCCAATATGGCTAAAGCCCACTATGCCTGCTGCTATAGCTCTCTCTGATTCCACTCCAGCATAATTCATACCAAGATCTTCCAGGTTTCTGACCACTATCACGTCCAGATCCAAGTAAATTCCGCCATATTTCCATAGTGTGAGATATCTATAGAAATACAAATTAACAATAAGTTATGCGGATGGATTTACATTTTATATGTAGTGTTAATAGACAAGAAACATTTTACAATATGAAATATTATCAGAAATTTCAGAAATGTTGATATAGGTATCGGTTGTAAAAATGATGTACCAAACTTACCAGAAATGAGATCCCTACGTATTTAAAAAGTACTTTTGCACGTAATAAAAAATTATTTGTTAATTACTGTTACCGGAGGTTCTCACAATAGGAATTGACCTCAAATCCAATGAGGCAATAGAGAAAGAGGGACACATCCTCTATTATAGATACGGGACAACACCGGTATCAGGTCTAAGGAGAGACCAAGTTAAAGAGGTGGAGAAAATGGAGACAGATCCTCCAGCCTCCACCTCACGGGTTCCTCAGCCGGAGGCAAGCTCCTCGACTGTGAAGGGCGGCACGGAGAGTCAAACTCCAGCCGTGGAAGGGTGTGTACCCTCGGAGGAAGAACTGTTCTCAGAGGAGGATGGGAAATACCCTGTCCCCTCTACAATAGGGGTATGATGGGTTATAGACTGTGTGATGACTCAAGGAAGGAGGTCACAATAGATCTTTAAGGTCACAGTGATTAATTAACCCGCCCTCTTACTCATTCTACATTCTATCGGAAGTACCGAAAGTTACCAGAAAGTACCGGGAGTTAATCCATCGAGTGCAGGTTCTTTAATGGCACAAAAGAACCGGGAACTGAACATGGTTCAGGACCCTAATTTCAAGGGTATCTTCATCAGCAAGCATCTTAAGCCATATTATGTTCATAGGAACTTTTTGATTTATTTTGATCTATAATTTTTGTTTGGTACACTACTTTTTACACCTTGTATACAGGCAAATATTCTATTAATTAAATTTGAAGAATGTATTTTAATTTCTAGATCTATAGAAAATGACGATGTTATAAATATGACAAAAAATCTAGAACCGAAAATTGTAAGCATTTTTCAGCATTGATACAGTTTCTAAAAAAATATTGTTGTCTATTAGAATAAAGCTAGAAGAAAGTAGTATTTTTTATAACTGAGATATCTTCTGTTTACTTTCATTATACATTATGAACGATTTAAATTTCTGGAAATGTTAATATTTTTATAAATAACTATACCCAATCAATGCTTACTAAATATGTAGGTACTAAACATACAAAACAATAAGAAGAAAAAACATTAAACAAACCACCAAGTTGAGTAAAATATAACAAAAATCATCAAAACTAAACAAAACCAGAAAAAAATATGTTTTCATTATTATGTAGAGTCCACTTTTGTTAAGTGAATTCAAAAAGTTAACTATAATATATATTTAAATAAAAATAAAACTTAACAATAATTGTTTCATATCTCTTTGTTGTCGCATTTGATTATCCAGTAATTTTAAAAATTTAATATATTTTTTAACAACTTTTCTCTGTTTTGTAATAGATGGACACTTACATCTAGAAAGACCCTTATCTAACTAAAAAAATCATTAAATATCACATATTACCTATGAAAATTTACCTAAGGACATCGCTCGTGTGGGATTGGGCATATTGGGAAAACTTCATCCTATCCGATGTCCACAAGTTTTCTACAGGAGTATTTTCAAAATATTTATCCATATCCAAGTGGTATATATGCACGTTATGGTATTGCAAGAGTTGTGCCAAAAACCTATCCGACTCAGAATCATTATTCTTGAAATTTCCAGGCGATGAAAACAGAAGATATATTTCGTGGTCTGGATTCATCCTGGCTGCACTCTCCACTGCACACGCTTGTCTAGAATTTATCGTTATTTTTCCCTTGATGTACGAGGTGCAACTGGTTTCGTGGAAAAATATCGATTTGCCTTTTTTGGGACTGGCAAAAGATATATCTGGCAAACTATGTTCCGACTGAATGGAATGACAGAACAGGCTTTTGTTTGGTTTAAACCAGTAGTAGGCTTTGATTATGATTGTTGGTAAGGGAATGTTGAAGTTTGCAAGGAACACCCAGAGGAAGATAACGGCAAATAGAGTAAGTATGATTTTTTTTCTGGATTTGACTATACGAAGATACATCGCTCAAGGGATCTGAAAAAAAAATAGATTTCTTAAAAAGGACCCTATGATAATTTTATATTAATAATTAATTTATTATTTAATATTATATTAATTAATTTATTATTTAATAAAGTATTATTTTTACAATACAAGTAGTTAAGATAATGCTATAAATATTAAATGTATTGGATTATAGATTTTTAAATAACATATTGTAATCGCAAAACATTTTCCGATGCACGTCATCAATCATATCGACATTAAACCAAACCAAACCAAACCAAACCAAACCAAACCTGACTAAATGAAATTTTGACAAAAATGTTTAAATTTGTTGTATAATTTAAGATACCGAGCAGCTCTTCATTTTACTTTATAAAGCAAATGATTGCAGCAGATATTTTATTTACATTAAAGCTGCAAAAATTAGTTTAAACCGAATTTTATTATCGCTATTTTGCTCATATTGCGCCGTTTTCAGCAAGGTTGTCATTTATTATTTGACAATTATCCTATGTCAGTCATTATTTTGTATAATATCATGTTGTTGAATCTTTGTGAGTAATTCTCGTTTTTTGCTTAATTTCAAAGTTTTTTTTTAAATTGTACTTTTAAGCACAAACAGTTCTCTTAAAAACTAAATTTTCGAGTTTTTGCATTGCATCTCTTGAAATTGTTTGTTGAAAATATGCAGAAGCATTTAAACAGTCGAAGCAAAGAGCTTGTATTAGCTTCCCTTGATAAACTATTTTGAACGAGAACGTGACAATAAAGGTCCTTTATTATCCTTGCTTGACTGCAGTCAGAGAAGTAAGTTTGATTGATCAGCACATTACGCCACTTTCAAAGTTATTTCTATATTTTATTAAATTCTGTGATTATTAATTTGTGGATTAATGACACCCTCTTACTTGTTCTTACCACTTGTGGTGTTGTAAGTTATACATCAATAAATAAATAACCCATAATAACGCTTAGAATAATCTTCATAATGGACTAATTTTTGCCAATATGTAATAAGTAAAATAAGCTATTAAACAAATAAATCAGTTAATTACTAAAATATTAGTTATTAAATTAAAAGTAAAACGTAAAAATATTTAAAAAATGATATAATAAATATGTATATTGTTTGTCACTTTTAAATTAAGATTCATCTCATAAATCCATCACAATCTGGCAGCGCTGTCGTCATCGTTTGTCACTCAAAGTTGATTACGTGCATCGGAAATTGTTTTGCGATTACCATAGGTAAGTGCTAAAAGACTAACATTATATGCCTAACCTTACACCTTACTGTCGTTACTACTAAAGCACACTAAAGTATGTAATGCACTAAAATGTGGCATAAACAACGATGCATAATATTAAATATGTTTAGTTTCTATATCAGTTGAATTGATCTTTCCCATGAAAGCGTGATAAATACTGGAAATTTCCATGTCGTCGTGACTAAAAATATGCAAATTTAAGTATAATGGTAATACAGTTCAAAATAAAACTGCATTTGTCAAGCTCTAAATGAATGTAAGTCTTCCTATATTGGAAATTTGTAACTAGTGATGAGCAAGACTGGTCTTGGTCTTGGTCTTGCAAAAAACAAGACCAAAACCATAACCAGAATAGCGTTTTATTATTATGTTTTAATTCTATTTGGATTGTATTAATTAAATGAGACCAAATACCAAGAATAAGTTAACTATAAAAATATACAAAAAATGGTCAAAGAAGTCATCAAAAAATAAATAAAATATTTTTATATTTTAAAATTACATAGACAGAATTTTAATTATTAATTAACATTACAGCTCACCGCAAAAAAATCAATAATGCGTCAGTTCTTTTAAAATAGCAACTTACCTGATCACATTAAAATATATCTTATATTAAATTTTTCAGTAATTTTTTTTATTATATGAATGATTAGTGGATTATTTATCAAATTTATTATTTTTTATGGATAAAAAAAATAATAATAAATCAACTTTTTCTTCTTTCAACGTATAATATACCGTATGATCGAAAAAAAACGGCGTCCAGTTGGCTTGGAAGTGACGATCGATTACATTCCTCCTATAAAATGACAGCCATCTTCATTTCATATCACTGACGCCGTTTATTTTTTCGATCATATTGTATTATATATGGATATAATAAATTTTCGAAATAATTTGTGGCATCACTTAGATATCGGTGACAAGTTTATTGTCCTAAATGATAAAATGAACACAAAAATACCCATGTATATTATTTCCGAAGTCAATTGGAAATACTGAGACATGAGACAATTAATTCGTTTGTCTAAACAATGCCGACAATGACGCTAATTAAGACAGTGTCAAAATTAAGAATTTATTCCAAGTAACTTCGGAAAAACATACCATGCGATCAAGAAATAAGTGATATCGTTAAAAAAGTAATTTTGTAAACGTGTTGTTAAAATAAGCATAATAATGTTGTTACAATAGCATATTCCGCAGATAAAAATAAGTAAAAAATTTTCTATAAATATATATCCTAAAACGCTAAGTTTCGAGGATACATGGTGTAGAATTTTCATTTTTATTTCGATTTTTTCCAAATAATTTTTGAAGCAACGTCAATTTTTGGATGAAAATTGGTATCTGGGTATTTTTTGACTTGAGAAATTTGATTTTGATGTCTATTTGTCCTCTATTTGTAGAGAGCGCTACCTGCATGTGTTTTAACTATTTTGAAGAGTAATAACTTTTCGTCCTTCCCCGTATAAAGCCACTGAGTGAACAATTATACACATCTCCGTGATTTTTTAAATCGCTAGGAGCAACCGTTCTCAAAATTTAAAATGGGAATAGTCAATACATATCATTATTGACAAAAAAATAAACATGTTGAGTAGATAATTTTATTTGACTGAAATGATAAATTTGTGAAGTTTTTATTTTTTTAAATTAATCACAAATTAAATAAAACAGTTTCTGTTAAACCTTTGGCACAAAAACATTTGAAAATTAATGATTTCAGTCTAATAACTATTTAATCAACATGTATAATTTATGTCAATGATGACAGGTGTTGATAATTTCGATTCTAAGTATCTCGAGAACCATTACTCGTAGCGATTTTTTCCAAAAGATATTTTTACGTAAAAAGCATCGTAAATGTATATTTTTTACTCAGTAGTTTCATACAGGTACGGACAAAAAGTTATTACTCTTCAAACCAGTTAAAAATATGTAGGTAGCGCCCTCTACAAGTAGTCAAAAAAGACACCAATTTTCATCCAAATATTGACGTTACTTCAGAAATTATTTGGAAAAAATCGAAATAAAAGTGAAACCGCCACACCCTATATCTCGAAAACTACGCCATTTTACGACATACATTTATACGAACTTTTTCACTTATTTTTATCTGAAGAATATGCTGCCGTAGTTTCCGGAATACAATTCGGACCACCCTGTATAATAAATGACAATTAAAAAAAATTAAAAATAAAAATTACAAGTGAAAAATAATTTATAATTATTAGGATGTTATAGTATAGTTACAGCAATAGAAAGTCAGCTCCATAAAATTAAATAAAAATACAAAAAGGCTGTCGAAATACCGTATGATCGAAAAAAAACGGCGTCCAGTTGGCTTGGAAATGACGATCGATGACATTTCCCATCTAAATTTACATATAAAATGACAGCGATCTTCATTTCATAGCCATCGTTGACGCCGTTTTTATTCGATCATACGGTAGATTCGGTAGCTATTTCTAGATCTTTAGTTTAATGTTAAATATATAGCAAAGCAACATATATGGATTTTTTGTATGTTATTTTATCACTTTACTGACGTTTTAAACTTTCTGAAAATGGTTTTATTTTTAATTTGGTTGAATTTTCAAAGTGCAAAAATCACAATTAAAAAATAAAGTAGAATAATAAATAAAAAATTAATTATATAAAAGTAAATTAAAAAAAAATTATTTTGTAACAAAGATTTGCAGTATATATTATATATTATTAAATAAATGAATAATTATTAATATAATTAATCAAAGAACAATAATTTATAAATTTGAATTAAAATGTCGATAATATGATTAATTTTAAGTAATAATAAATTTTTGTTTGTAGCCTACGAAATATAGAGTATATTTATGTATTTTATTTTAATCTTAATTTCATTCGCCATAAAGCTTTGGTCTTTGATAAATATTTATTAATTGTTTAAGATTTTGAATTGAAATTAATATTAAAAGCACTGAGATAAGATGTTTAGGGAGCTAAAATTGATTTTTCATTGTTACCTATATTCTAAAAAAATATGACCTCAAGTTATAGACAAAACTTATGACCTCAAGTTATAGATTAACCTCAAATGTATTTTCATCCCTTACATTAAACCTCCCTTATAATATATAATAATATCTTATTTACTGTTTAAAAAAATACTTGTAATACGTCGTAAAATACAGTTCGTTTGCTCTAATATTAGTTTAATTTATTTCTATTTTTCTCTTACCTATAAAAACAAACATTTAAGAGCACAAAACACCCTACCTTCAAGTATAATAGTTGTGTGATACAAATAGGGGTTGGAAACGAATATAAAGGGTAGAATTTGGTGTAATACGGGTTGCCTAACCAAACAGAAAACGTAAATCAAAGTTTTAAATAATTTCTAAAGTTTATATTGATAGTTTTTTATTATTAATTTAGTAACTTACAAAGAAAAATAAACTTTTGCATAAAATACTGATATTATATTTAAAATTCTATTTTTAACGAACAAAAAATAATTTTGCTATTTTGCAACATTGAATATATTCAAGATAAAGCAAAATATTGATAATAATTGTTTTTTCTACTATTATTTCCATCGGGAAAACATTAATAAGCATAATTAAAACTCTAGTCAGTATAACTAAGATATCTTAATGCAATATAGACTATAATATAGAGATTTAATAACTTTAACATGGAATTTCCCATAGAAAATAGATAGTTGTTTAAATACTTACAAACCCCATAAATATTTATAAAAAAACAAAAAAATACTGTTTTTAAACATATTTTTTAAATATGTATTAGATATACATAATTATTAAATTATTATTTTGTGGTGGGTTGAAGGTTGATTTCTCCAATATTCTGGGATTTCATCTAGGAACAATAAGGCACTCTATTTTTGTATATTATAAAACACCATAATTTATTTTTAAATAATAATAAAAATTATATCAATTAATTAACAAAGCACATTTACCAGCACCATGGAACAAAAAATAGATTGATGCCAAGCCAGAATTATAATGAAAAAATCATTAGCCTGCTAAAATAAATATTCAGTTAAATATAGATTTACGTACTGGTAAATTTTGGCAAAAGCATGCTTTTAATTATACATAAACAAGGCCGTTAGGAAGTAACTGATATAATTTTAATTTTTGATTTGTCTATTATCTAGACTACTTAAATTATTGGTTAAAAATCGTTAATAATTCTCATTTTAATTGTTAAAAAATTTGTTTTTTGTTAACATACGAGATCTTGTTTTCTTTCGACTAACTTTGATAATCACACTAAAAAATGTCTTTCCTTTTTCTTCTTTTTAGTCTAAATTCAGTGCCTTTTTATATAAAACAAATAGGTATTTGTATGTTTTGGTTTTATTTGTCGCATATTTTGAAAAAAAATCATCCGAAGAACGCAAAATATTTTCAACTTACAATTTTCCAAAAAATAAACAATACTTAAATTTAATACTTTGTTAAAATAAATACAACTCAGTTAAATATGTATTTATAAACTTCAAAATATTTTAAATTATTTCTGAAAAACTTACCTGTTTTTCTAATGGACGTTTTAAGAAACCCCCATTAATTAAACACTAACATTTATTAAATTATCAAATAGAGAATATAGTAAACTTATATAAACAGGGATATAAGTTATCCTGTAACACATATTGTAAAAATACACATTTGATCTAAAAGCAATTATTGAGGTAAAAATGGAGCGATGTTAACGAAATGCTAATTCAGACTAAAGTAAGTACCTACTAGTGGATCAATGCAGCAAGCCATATCTACAAAGTGCGGCGTTTTTGCAATATTAGGTATAGTCATAGTAAACCACAGAGCCTTAATATATTAATAATATATAGATAGTCTTTCGAAAATTATTGTTAATTCTTTTGTGAATATCTCCGCGACTATAATGCACTCTCAACTCCATAATGATTTTCTGACCCAATGCACGTTTATCTGTTCTTATCAACCATTGCCCTCGAAATTTATTTATTCTTATGTACATCACCACTAAAGTCAAAATTATAACGCATAAATAGGTACTTTTCTTAATAAAATTCTATTAAAGGATACAGTTGAGATCAGAACCAACAGACGTTACAACAGCAAAATGAATCACTAGTTCACCACAACACAACCACTTTTTTCTAACCATGTTAGAAAGTTT